TTATATTCTGTAATTAGAACATATATAATTATCAAAATTAAGCATCAAGTTTTTAATATTTATCTTATTGCTGCTTAGATTTTTGTCATCGATAATATCTTCAATCGTTTACAAATTACAATCCCAACGTTGCTCTATTTGTTGAAATTTGGAATTTGAAAAAACTCTTATTTAGATTCTGGTCCAACTGTTGGCCCTACACCAATCACAAGTCCGCGACCAGCATCTGCTGCAGGGGCATTCACCTTCCATAGTAAAGTGCACGGCAGTGCCGTCAAGTTTTTGAACAACTACAGAACAGCCGCACGAGAAGAGTAAGTGTATTCTAAGATAATATTGTTCAAAAATCAAACTTTATTCCACATATTAGAATTTTGAAAAATGTGGTGCATTCATAACTGCAAATGTCTGTCGCAGTGTTGAAGCCAAATCCATCCGCCCAAGCTGTATTGAACAAACGCGTTTCGTCTTACTATTGACCTACGTATGGCTCTGCTTTACTCTAAGTCACCCTACCTACCCTTTCCAACACCTACCCCTACCAGAACGAACCGATAGGATAACTTTAAAATATCTATACAATATTGCATGTTCTTAAGTAAGCATACTAAGGACTTGTTTTTTATTTATTTTTTCATCCATTGTTTTGAACTTTACATTCACCTTCACTGAATGCCTTAGATACGTTAAAAAAAATTATTTAAACACTTTAATGTTTTCAAGTCCCCTCAACAATGACAAGAACGCAGTGGTGTTCACTTCTCGGCCCTTGGAAACAGAAGAACTCTTTGAAATCCACATAGACAAGAGAATCAAGGGTTCTGATAAACCTGGTTCCGTGGAAATAGGCGTTACCACTGTGAACCCTCAGGAGCTGAGTTCTGTCCCAGCCACCATGACTGACTGCAAAGTTGGTCAGACCTGGATGTACAGTGGAGCTGAAATGTTGCTGAATTCACTCAAAGTGGCGAACATGCCCAAAGACATCTATGAACTTCAGGTATCGATACACTCGTAGGTGGATCTGGGGGTTGGTGAGAGGCCAAAAATGAAGTGACCTCCCGATCCTTATGTGAATCCTCCAGTGTGCACTCTTAGGTTATGGGGAGACGGAAATAAAATGTCTTTTTTTTACCGAAAACTAAAAAAATTAATTTTCATTTCTTAAAAAAACTGCAGCAATTGCATTAGTCCCAGAATAGTACATGGCAGACAAGTTAAGCAGTAAATCTTGATATCTGTTTGTGAAAGCATTAATTGGCATTTTGAAAATTCTTATTCCTTCATTTAGACCGAAATTAAGAATTAGCAAAAGATTGGTCTTGGTTTGAACATAGAGTAATGGAATCTAGCAGTTAACATGGCCTTAAGCCTGACTTTTTTCTTGAATACGTTCACTTTTTCACTTAGTCAACTGGGAAGTTATCTAAACTGGGAGTGAAACGTGATGCTCAAGGGCGACTGGATATATTTGTCAATGGTGAATACATTGGCACTATTAACGACAGGTTCCCCACCACTATCTACGGAGTTGTGGATATCTACATGCAAACCGTACAAGTCAGCATCACAAGTATGTATTCTTCAAGTTTTTGTATGATTTCTGTCGCCATTGACCTGCATCAATGCATAAGTTATCACTGACATGTGTGATAGGTTGAAAAGTAATAACCCTTCTACATATCTCTGTTTTTAGCTTAGTTTACCACGAGACTGTGCTTTGCAAATTGATAACCAATCTATATATTATTCTGAGCGATCTGAGTCTCTTTCATTTGATAAAGGCCCTAAGGTAGAAGCACCAATAGAAAAGGAAGAAGAACCTAGTGGGCAAACTCAAGAGGCTGCAAAGTCTACCTCTCCAACCTCTCCACCGCCTCCCCCAATCACATTCCGCAAAACTTGTGGAAAAAATGTAGAAATGTCAAGTGACCAGAAAACTGCAACCAGACGAAAGTAGGTTTAGAATGATACGTGCTTAGCCTTTTGATATTTCAAGAATGGAGAAATATGGGCCCTATGTATTAACTAAATAATTGAATTAAAATAACATTGGTATTCTTTATTTCATTCCTGGTATGGACATGACTACATTTTAAAACAGCGCTGTGATCACTATGATGCAGTAAAGAATTATATAGGCCTTTAGTCTTTGTAGTTTGTGCAGTTATTCAACAATTAAATTACTACTCTCTTTCGTTTAAAACTTCCAGTTATATGACCGACTGCGATAATGGGATAGTCCTTAGCTCTAGACCGCTGCAATCCGGCGAAATGTTCGAGATCAGAGTGGATAAGACCATTAGCAAGTGGGACCACGAAGGCCTCAAAATTGGTCTTGTTGATTTACATTCTGGTTTTGAGATCCCCCGCACGCTACCTGGTCAAATAGCTGAAGTCACGTGGTCGTGGGTCGGAGACGAGGTGTTTCACGACAGAAGAGTAGAGAAAAAATTGAACATGAATCTAAACAGAGTCAAGGTAAACTTATCGATTTAAGTACAGTATTTTGAGAAAACAGCGCATTCGGTTAAACACATGAATACTCTGAAATTAGCTTTGAATGACAACTTTTTGATTGTTGTGTTTGACGTTATTTCCGTCTTTTAATTTGTTTTGAAACAGAATGGAGATAGGGTCGGTGTGATGAGGGCAAGCGATAACACCGTTCACTTTTTCTACAACGGTCAAGATTTCGGGGCGGCTGCAGATAGAATCCCTGAGAAAGTATTTGCAATCGTAGATGTCCATGGTTGCACTTTTGAAGTGTCCTTAAACAGTGAGTTAAATTTACTATTTGATGTTCATTACACCAATTTTTATTTTGTGTATTGACACTCTAGGTGACTGTAAATATTTTTGGAACTTTACCTGTGTATGCCATGGCTGTCAAAAATGTTCGTCTTAAGCGCCATATCACATTCCATTTTACTTATAATTTACTGAAATATTTTTTGGAAGATGCAGTTAAACGCCAGTCATTATAAGCGACTATTTTCACAGAAGTTAACTCAACTTTTAATAAGATAATTATTTCTTCTTTAATAATAATCTTAATAATTTCTTTATTCGATAATTAGGTACATCATTGTAAAATGAGCACTTCGTTTTTTTAAAGTTTATTTCATTATTTTTAGTGCCCGACACAGAAATGGAAACCAAACAAACGGCGCCTGGGCCTAATCCCAACTCCGAAGTTAACACCGCTTTGATGAAAATGAAGCAAACAGTGGAGTTACTGAAGATCAAGAATGAAGCATCAATAAAGAAAGTGAAACAGATGGCGCAAGAAAATTTATTGGAACTTTATCGGAGCCACCAGGACCCGTTGCTTCGCAAGGCGATGGGTGAAAAGTTCACAGAGATGCAGGGGGCAACACACATCGTCGACTATATAAAGTTCCTGCGTGAGTGCGGCCTAGAAGTAGATTACATCCAGGAATGCTATAGTACACTGCGAAAAATTTGCGTTTGGTACAGCGATGATTCCCTGAAGTTCGCTCGCGCTCTTGGGGAAACAGATTTATTAGCAATTATGGTATCCGAGCTACAGAAATACAAGAACAAATCTTACGAAACTGACGAGGTAACGCTTTACTGGGTATTAATGTATACTTAAAGTGATAATAACTCTTCATATGAGATTTATATTTCACAATAAAAGCATTGTGAATAACTCACAGAAATATAATATATTCTGTTTTGCCACAAAAATGGCAGTTCTGATATCTGAGGTGGTCTTCAGACCACGTGACCTCCATTGACGGCTGTACTCTGTTATAATCTCTTAAGAGATTTTAACAAAAAAAAACTTTTTAGAAAAAAAAACAGGGACTATTTTGAATCTAAAAATGGATTCATTAACCATTAGTAAGTATGGGAAAATTGTTGTTTACTCCAGGAAAATTCATTTTTTGGCCAAAACAAAGAGTTATTATCCCTTTAATATACTTTGTAACATCACACAAGTGATCGTCATATAAATGTACATGAAAGATTTTTGTTGAAACCGTAACTATAGTCTTCATAGTAATTTTAGCATAACCATATCCTTTATTGCATTTTTAGAAATTGCTGGACGTGGTGAAAACTAATCTTATTCTCCTACATAACTGCGCCAAAGTTACTGAAAACCGCGGTGTCATAAGGAGACTGCAAGTTATCGACGCCATCTTGCCCTACCGTAATAGCAAGATTAAGGAATTGAGCACCCACGCCCTTATGGCCCTCTCCTACATGGTTGCTATTGATGAACACCATTACATTCAGGCAGACGAAAATTCCATCGCTTTCATCTTACAAATCCTGGAAGAGGCATTCAATAACAAAACTACCCACATGAGCGAAACTGGTTATCATGTAGATGAAGTCCTGGTCGGACTGGCCAACCTTGCCAAGAACAAAGGGAACCGAATAAATGTTGTTAAAAAACAAGGTGTTAACACATTTGTGAAAATCATGAAACTTGGCCGACCCAGTGAGCAAGAGTGCGCGGCGATGGCGTTGTTGGAAATGGTGGACGACACAACGGTGCAGCACATTGCCGCAACACCAGGTTTACATGGGGTTCTTGCTACTATGAAAAACAGCCCAGTGGAGGCAGTCCGACAGGCCTCAGAAAGACTGTTGCTCAAGTTGCCTTCGCAGGACTCTTTTGTCCAGATGATGCCAGGTGATTGAAAAATATTTAATGACTTTTAATAATGTGAATGTGTTGATGGAGTTCATTTATTTGCTTATTATGAAAAGTGTATTACAAGAGAAGCAGACATTATTTCTGATCGAGATCAAGAATTCTGTTATTTATTTAAAGAAATACATTTCAGATATGCCGAAACCAACTGCACCTAAAAGAAGAAAGTGTGACTATAAAGAGATATGCAACGCTTACATGAAAACCCTTAACTTAAATGGCAAGTATCTCTCTCTCTCTCTCTCTCTCTCTCTCTCTCTCTCTCTCTCTCACACACACACACACACACACACAAACGCGCTCGCGCGAAATGTAATCCGTTACAGATATCTTATGAACTTTTCTCCCATAGATGCGTTTTTCGACCACGAATTTGACCGGTGCTACTGCAGCGTCTGTCACACAGACCGTGGAGATGACTTGTATTATACCAGGGGAGACCCTCCCAAAGATTACGGTATTCCTGCTGGCTGGTGTAGATACGCTTTGAGGTGAGAAATAAACAGCGTTTAATTTGATAGGTGTGTAGAGTTAAAACAGCAGCATGGGAATAGCATAACAAAAAAGATGTCTTGTTTTTCCTGTCGTTGGTTAATGCCTATAAGGTTGTCAAATAGAAAGCACATCCAGTTTTCTTCGCACCGTTTTCGTGCCAGATAATGGGGCTTGATTTCCGGATTGCTGTCATCATACTTTTGCCATCTGCATGTTAACATTTACTTTAATTTTTTTTTCTCTACAAAGTTTGCCTGCAAAAGCCAAAGCCATGAATGTTTTAGAAGCCTGGCACAGAGCTTACCATGGGACCAGGAGCACTGCGGTTGCTAAAATATTACAAGTGGGAGAACTTTTGATGCCAGGTTCGTTTTGATTGAATATATTGTGTTCAAATTTTATGAATCACTCTTTAATACAACAAAAAAGCAAATTTTGTCTTTTACAGGTTATTAAATACACCTCCGTATTGTTTTTTGTTTGTTTTTTTTTTTTGTTGTTGCTTTGATGGCCTCGTCTTATTAGGGAAAAATGAATTTGAAACAACGCTACAGGTGTAAAACAAGAATATGAAAAAGATGAATCAACATAAACCCCTTCATTTACCACATTTCTTAGTAGAAAAAGGGGTACACTTAAAATCTATTTACTCATCTGCGCTATGAAATTGCAGTTTATTTTGTCCCCTTAAAAACGTAAAATTACATCTTGACTTTCTTATAGGTGACACTGCTCTTGGCGGAGAAAAAATAAGTGTGTGCAAAGGGCATTTCACAGAGGAAAGGAAGCCAGAAGGATTCAACATCAAGAAAATCTTTGTATCGCCCAGCATCCGATATGCAGGACATAATGCTTATGCTATGCCGCACAAGTAAGGCTTCCGTCCCGACCTTTGATATTTTTTACATCTAAAGACAGATTTTTGATGGCTTCGTACATTAAAAGTCAAATAAAGAAAGGGAGTTCAATTTTATTCATTGTAAATTTTCTAAGAAAAGAAATTTTTGTTTTCAATCATCTGTCCTTAAGAAGTACTGGTAGAAGGTAGTTGATCAGTCAATGTATTTTGAAGGAATATGTGCTTTTTTTACAGGTACAAGGATGCTACAACAGAAAAGAACTACGTAGCTCGCGTTGCATTCCAAATCTGCATTCGCCCGGATAGTTACGTTGTAGGTGACCAAACCATTGGAGCCCTGAGCCAGATAGACCCAAAATTTGATAACCAGGAAATAGAATGGGCGACAGAGGAGAGAGGTAGCACTGTCCTCTATGGCCTGCTAGTGAAGTTGGAAGAGGAAGTCAGTGCTTGAATAAAGATGCAATGTGCAAGAGCAATATGGTAGCGCCACCTTGTTCAGGATTGGTTTGAGAACAGTTCACAACAGCAATACTAGAACTTTATCAACATGCTTCAGTGTTTTTGTTTAATAAAGCGGCTTCAAACTAGCAAATGTGGTAAACTAGCCTGCAATTTTTGTCTTTGCTTTAAAAGTTACAGCTGAAAATGTTACCTTAAAGGTTGCAGCTAAAAAGGTTACATTTGGCGTATCAGTTTATGCCGTGAAATTTTATTAATCACGCTTAGAGTTGCACACAAATTAATAGGAGCATTAAAGATGTGTGGCCTCGTGAAAATATCTGTATTGGCACACACGTATTAACTCATACTCATGTTTTGTGTAATTCAAGAAATTTTTATTGTGTTATTCAAAACTTCAAATGCTCTCTCAATTTTTAATTATATGAAAGCTATGAAAAATGATCATTGTTTCGTTGTTTTTATTCATGAATTAATACAAATGAATTTCAAACCCTTTTTATAAAACTGCGGTGCCCGCCATATATCGCCTTGTAAGATATCGTTGAAAAAATTCTAAGTGTAAAGGTATCTCATCTGGGATTTTCCCGCCAATTTTCCTGACCAATCAGAGGCCTGGATAGAGGTATAATAAAACCCAATAGTCTGGAAATAACCAAAAACGAATGTTTTTATCAAAGTTATCTAAAGTATATTTCTTTGCATGCGGTTAGCTTTTCTGACGATAAATGAAACAAATTTGCAGGCTAGTGTGTTTTTAAACATGATATTCATCAATTATATATTTGTATATACAGAAATTAAGACGCCACGTTTAGCAAGGGAACTCGGTGGTTGGCACTTGGACTGGTTGTTTTCGTGTTAGACGTTTGACTTTCTTGTATACCGCTATGCACGTATGTTTAAGAAAACGGTCATATCTGTATAATTTGTTTTACGAGTTGAAGAGCACCATTTAGAATATGGAATGTTAACACATTAACAAAGCAATTTTAGGACATTAGTGGCAGTGATCTTCTGATTATTCATTGTAAAAAACATCTTTAACATTAAAATATATTTGCAACCGAGAGGTTGATGTCTTATTAATATGTGCACTTGTTGTAAGGTTTACAATGTATATTCAAACGAATAATGGGTTGGAAAAAAGCAAAGATTTGTACTTGAAAAGTTTGAACACAAATAACACTCAAATCTGTCTTTCCAAAACAATGTAATAAATAAATAAATAAATAAATAAATGCATCCTCAACACAATTACCAATAATGTGGTCAACCGATAATGTTTGTTTGTTTGTAGCAACTTCCAGTACACTGACGTAAGCTTGCTGGGCTCTGTAAAGATTGACAGAAGACGTCTTGTGTAATCTCATTTGTCGTCATGTCTACGCACATAACTTGCCTTGTCTGCACTGAAAGCTGACCACAACTTGCTGGACACTGAAATATAATAACATAATGTCAACTTGAGCTTTAAAAAAACACATATTTCCTTCAAAATACATTGACTGATCTACTGCCTTCTACCAAAAACCACACACGGTGCTTGCCTAGACGATGCAGCCCCAGTGCACTGTGTCAGTCTGTTCAGTTACAGAACTGCCGGTCGCACATTGGAAAATCTTTAGAAAAAGTTGCGTGCGCTGCGATAACATCGACTTCATAACACCCTAAGTTTTGCAAAATTTACGGTAAGTTAAGACACTTCTAGATAAAAAAAGTCCGTATGCTATATAGTTTGAAGGGATGTTTTATGGTAACAGAGACAAATATCAGTATCTATGCCGAATTGTATCGATTGTTGCAATAGATGATCAAATATATCACGTTTAAATTCTTGAATCGAACTAGACGAAATACAAGGTCACGTCAGGGGGCTCAGGATAAAAAAGAACGGCAATCTAGTGCATACTTTGTACACTTTGGTATGCCCAAATAAAAAATGCCAAAAACCTTTCGAATACAAGTGGATATATGATTTATGAGTGTAAGAATTTCATAAAAGTTATAAGATTTCATTTTGATGGAGCATTTCCCGTCAGCAATTTGGCCTTTCACCTCAGAAGTCAAAAGATAGAGTCATCACGTAGACCTACCTGAAACCAGTGCCCAGTGACCCATCTATACGGACAGGTGGACACACCACTATTGACTGACCCTCCCACTTGAGGACACTGGTCGTTTGAAACCCTGACAGGAATACCCGACCTTTGACTAACGCAAGTCACAGGGCACACTAGTTGTCGCGTCCCGCAGGACCGGGTACATTGTTTGATATCCACAGGTGTCCAACTGTAAAGAACAAGAAATGTAACACCTGAGGTTACATTACCAAATTCTATTCTTTGCAATTGTGATGTATGAATACCATAAATGTACATTTCTTAATAGGAGGTGGAATTTATAAAAGGCTGTCAAAATACAGTTTTTAAAGTTTAAATAGTTCTGTTGATGAGCTTCGTTCTAAACTCTTTAAAAAAACTCTTCTGTCCATATTTTATGGTAAAATATCTCTTAGTTTTTAGGTGGGACTTACTTTGCTGGACATGCCTGCGTATTGCAAGAAAGTGATGTCGAAGTGGGCCTGTCTTGGGCGTTGCACAAAACATCGTCGACAATTGATCCGCCCGGGGCGACCACGCACAATGCCTTTACCAGCTGCATTCCTGACAAATAACAGAACTAGTTTTTTTAGGAAATTTAAATCTTCCTGTGACCTTATGTGCTCAAGTAAATTTATATTTTTTGTCAACAGTCAGGTCAAATATCACATTCTAACCTGGAATAAAGTACACTTGTCCGTGTAACTAATTTTGCTCTTTGTTGATCAGAGCCCTAGTAGCGGGGAGAAGTTCAAACATTCACTTTACAGCAGAAGACCAACCATAAGACTTCCTCAAATTAAAGACGAGCATTTAATTTTGAAGTTTAACATACTTTGACAATGGAAATAATATTCAAATCATGAAATCATGAAACGATGGGCGAGAAAAAAAATAAGGCCCCAGAACATCCAATAAAAAGTCCAAAATTTTTCCGTTAAGATCCCACACCCCATCAAATTCCCGGTAATTCCTGGGTTTACTATTTATAAGTTTCATCAATTAAACTGCTATCAAACATCTTGATCCTATACGAAAGCAAAGTAAAAAGTGTTGCTACTCGTAGCTAAGCAAGCAAAGATAATAAAGGGCGTGTCGACCGCCCTTACCTCCTCCGCATGTCTGCGTACATCCAGTTATATAATGGAGGCTCCACCTGTAGCGCTGTACACTGCCAACCGCTGCTGGTGCGACGTGATTGGTTGGCAAGTAGTATTCATAAGTGATAACAGGATCCACACCATTATACTGCGTGCTGTCATACTCTTGCTTCACCTTTGAGGTAGATAAAACAACATCTATAATAAATATAATTATTGCAATTTGAAGACGACTTTTGAAATGATGTTACTGACACAGGTCCTCTTTTACACTGTCCATTTGATGATTGGTAATCAAAATAAATTTTCAAAAAGCGAAAAGGAAATCCAAGTTTAATAAAATGGGATAGTACATGAATGAATGTACAGGATTTTTTTAGAGCAAGGAGAGAATAGTAAATACCACTATTTATAGGAACTTACCGAGAAACTGACAGTGATATTGTTAGGGATTGACTTGATTGAAAGATACTCGCTGTCACTCAAACCACCTTTATACTGCACGTGCACTCCCTCACTGTCATACAGACGTGATTTTCCCCGACCAGAGTGAGGTCCAAGCAACCAGCGGCCGTTCACCCGAACCCCAATATGAGTGTAGGCATTGCTGCTGACTATCTTAATGCTGGTCGCACCTCCAGTTAGTGTTAGAAACGTTACATGCTCTAGGAATAAATAAAAAAGGATTAGATAGTAGTTAAGGATGCATTTGATAGATCCAGCCTGCTGTGGACCTTTCACACCAATACCACTCCGGTAGATACAAGTAAAATAGCTCCCCTTTGTCAAGAAAAATAATCATACAACTTACTTTGCATTTCATAGTATGAGTGACGTTTGCAAGCTGAAAAATGAAGCTGGTACATGTACTAAGTAACTAATATTCCCTTTAAAATGTAGTATTTAAAGGTCATGGAAAAGTTTGAAAATCACTTTTCGCACGCAGCAATTACCTTGAAATTTCCCGGAAGTCTGCTTCCCAGAAAACTTTTTACAAGAATTCCCTGTACCTCCACATATTCCGCAAACGTCAAAAAAAGTGCCAGAATTTAGTTCTCCATCACAGCCGAATTTCTAAATAAAAAAAACAGATATAGTACACTATTATAATGCATACATAAAGTGCCATGTCCTGATATCTTCAACATTCTCTGCAAAACGGTGGACCAAACTTGACCGAGGATATGTAATAAACCATTTACACAGTAGCATTATTATCGCTACCATATGAAGAATAAAAAAACTGGCTAGCAACATGCCTGCTACAGGTACGTTCAGTGGACGGCCTGAATAATAAAAACCATTAGCTTTTGCAATGCAGAGATGAAAATACATCTCGTTTTAGAAACGCAACTGGCCACTTTTATACAGTTCAGCAGTCTGAAAGTAATATAAAAAGATGGATAGCAATTGCTTTCATAAAGTTTATTCATAGTACTTTTACACAAACGATGGGCGATCTCAATCGAAAACTTCGTCTGTCTGTTGTTGTTGTTGTTTAATTTCTCTTTTTTCTTTTTTCTGTGAAACAGTCAGTATTGAATTATGCAACGAGTACTTCACTTGTAGTTCAATTAATCTGTCTTGGTGCAATATTCACTGACAAATACGAAGATACTCCGAGAATAAAACGACGAATTAAAATCGCGACGAGTGCCTAACTAAGGTCTGAAAGGACAAAAAACATTTCTCTTAATGCAAAGATAGCTTCACATGACGTGGAATGTTGGGTGGTGAAAAAATCAGACAAGAAGAGATTAAAATGTTTTGGCTATCGGCGTGTTTTTAGAGTCAGCGGGGTTACAAGGACTACGAATGATGAAGTGCTGAGACGATTCGGATGATAAAAAAAGACTGCTGGACTCTCCCACAGAAAGAAAGCTTACCTTCGTGGGACACATTCTGAGAGGCCAAGAAATGGAAGAACCATTACTTATGGGGACCGAATACGGACCTAGAGGACGCAGTCCTAAAACGAGATACAGCGACGATATGGCGGACCTCTGTGGGTCCATGGTTCAAGCAGACAGAATGGCACAGAACCGTGACCAGTGGAGAGTTTTTGCGAGGGGGAGGGGGGGGGAGGGGCACGGCGGGTCGGTTCCGACCCAACCGATCTTGAAGATGATGATGATGAGTTCACTTGTGTTGAGAAGTTGTCTCAGTATCATTATGCTGAAACCAAGACGTAGCCTACTATTCGACTCATCCAGGTTCTTCACAAAATGGGCCGGGGTAAACTTTAAAAAAATCCACGTAAATATGTCTCACGGGCAGAGGAACGTGAAAACACTACCTTGTGCAACTCTTGGGTAAAAAGCTTAAGAGAACGGTAAATTATTTTGTTACATGTATCAGACTGGGGAAAGAGGCCACTCCTATGCTCCCACGACTGAACTTGGCAAAAAGATGACAATGCCACAAAAACGTAATATGATGGATGTTTGTTATGTAGCCTAGAAAAACTGTTGAAGCTAATCAGCTCAACAATTTGACGCGACCAATACACTGCCTTGATCTATCAAAGTGAAGAAAATGATATAGGCTGTCAGATGCAGGTCTACTTTGCAAAGAATATTTCAGCTTTACCACTGTTAGCTACAATGATGAATCCTTCCAACACCAACTAAAATCAGAGTAATCACAAATAAAAGGCCTACCTGGCATTTTCCATTTACACATTTATCAAATCCCCAGGCAGGTGAGTCATGTTCACAAATAGTGCCATCTATAGCACTTTGTTCTCTGACTTCGGCTTTCTGGTCAGGGCTTTCTCTCGGTACACACACTACATGACACTGACGGTTTTCTGAAAAAAAAAAAAAACAAGCTTGGATCAAAAATATAGATATTTGATTTTCTCAACTATGAGTCATTTAAGATATAAAACCAGACATAAAAAGCACTATTTAAAAAGCTTAACAGCTGTCTTGTAATTTATAAATAAAATAATGAAATTGAATATGTGACAAATCTTTTGATCATCATTACATCTTTGAGAAGAATTTCGAGACGAAATTCGAAAAACCGTACGGAAAATATATTAATTCCTTTTTAGATGACTTACTCTGTACTGTCTCAAAGGGTACCCAGTTTGTATATCTCCCAAGTCGGTCAGGTTGCGTGTTTGTGGCAGCACACTGCCGTTCTTTAAACTCGTACTGGCTGGAGATGGCGGGGCACGGCTGAAATTTAATTGGCACTTAATGAAAATGAAAGACACTGGACTCAATGCAATATTATACAGAAGCACCTTTGTTATCAATAATTGTACTGAATAAGTTTAATAGGTTTTAAAAAGGCTAAGTATGCGCACATATCTATATTTATCGTAACATCAAGGATTATCTTTGAACTGTTATTTATTAATAGGATCGCTTAAATAATGTCTTAGCAGGGGAGCTGCAGGATGATTGTGATATAAAGAAATTCAGTAGTAAGCTGTCTTACAGTCTTTATTGTAATGGTTTTCCTCCCCAATCAATCTTCAAGTATCTTATTCGCATTTTCTCGACATATCGAATTTTCCTTCAAAAAGTAATTTTCTCCAACTCACAAATTATGACTCGACTTGGCCCTGCCTTTGGATTCGACGTTTAATTGAACAATTTAGTTTTTAAAGTTTCCTGTAACGTTTAAACCGCCATGACTGACTGCCTGTACATTTTAAAAGGACATATCGATATCAGGTACTTTTATTTGAGGAGTTTTATCGTTTTTAAGGTCTGAATTGGGAAAGTAAAGCATCTTTCAGGACATATGGACATTGAAAATATGACTGAAGGACAATTTCAAGCGCGGATAGTATCCCTTTAAGAACGAATTCTAGATATGGATTTGGAAAAGATCGACACGATTATAAAAAAAAACTTCAGTCAATAAAAGAACAGTGAAATAACTCTCGTTCAATCTAGCCTCTGTATAGAGTTTGAGAAAACCATTAGTAATCTTATCAATTTTGCAGATTACTGCTAATTGATCATGTAAAATAGCAGCCAAGCAAATAGTTTTAGTTTTAAAAGTTGAAATTAATTCTTTTTAGTACTTGCAAAAGAGTTTCAACTATACCTGAATATTGCAAAGCTGTGCTTGAATTGCCTCACCATCACAGCTATCTTTAGATGGTCCTCTGGAACAAACAAAAAATTGTTGGTATCTTTTTCGGAGGAGAAATTTCCAACTTTTTCGGGTTTCTTTCTTTTTTTTCTTATTTTAATATGAAAAAGTTTATTAAAAAATTCGATCTATGTCCATGATTCATACTTTTTGTTATTGATTTAATACTTATTTGAGCGCGTTTTAAATTGATGGTTTTGAAATCGATTGAGTGGACCCTATTTGGTATTATTCATTCTTACTGGTGACAATATCTTCGTTTTAATCTTATTCCTCCACCGCAACTTCGTGTGCAGATACTCCAGGTGTTTTCCCAAGGCCCCCAGTTTCCGTCAGAAGCCTAGAATTAGAGACGTTTATAAAATCTCCAGTTCACAATTGAGGTACGATTCCATGTGAAATGGCTAAATCATAAAGAATGATTGCCTTGAATGTTTTACTCAAGTTCATAAATATAAATGTATTTATAAATTTAAAATAAATAATGATATATGTGTTTATCAATTTAATANTAAGCTGTCTTACAGTCTTTATTGTAATGGTTTTCCTCCCCAATCAATCTTCAAGTATCTTATTCGCATTTTCTCGACATATCGAATTTTCCTTCAAAAAGTAATTTTCTCCAACTCACAAATTATGACTCGACTTGGCCCTGCCTTTGGATTCGACGTTTAATTGAACAATTTAGTTTTTAAAGTTTCCTGTAACGTTTAAACCGCCATGACTGACTGCCTGTACATTTTAAAAGGACATATCGATATCAGGTACTTTTATTTGAGGAGTTTTATCGTTTTTAAGGTCTGAATTGGGAAAGTAAAGCATCTTTCAGGACATATGGACATTGAAAATATGACTGAAGGACAATTTCAAGCGCGGATAGTATCCCTTTAAGAACGAATTCTAGATATGGATTTGGAAAAGATCGACACGATTATAAAAAAAAACTTCAGTCAATAAAAGAACAGTGAAATAACTCTCGTTCAATCTAGCCTCTGTATAGAGTTTGAGAAAACCATTAGTAATCTTATCAATTTTGCAGATTACTGCTAATTGATCATGTAAAATAGCAGCCAAGCAAATAGTTTTAGTTTTAAAAGTTGAAATTAATTCTTTTTAGTACTTGCAAAAGAGTTTCAACTATACCTGAATATTGCAAAGCTGTGCTTGAATTGCCTCACCATCACAGCTATCTTTAGATGGTCCTCTGGAACAAACAAAAAATTGTTGGTATCTTTTTCGGAGGAGAAATTTCCAACTTTTTCGGGTTTCTTTCTTTTTTTTCTTATTTTAATATGAAAAAGTTTATTAAAAATTTCGATCTATGTCCATGATTCATACTTTTTGTTATTGATTTAATACTTATTTGAGCGCGTTTTAAATTGATGGTTTTGAAATCGATTGAGTGGACCCTATTTGGTATTATTCATTCTTACTGGTGACAATATCTTCTTTTTAATCTTATTCCTCCACCGCAACTTCGTGTGCAGATACTCCAGGTGTTTTCCCAAGGCCCCCAGTTTCCGTCAGAAGCCTAGAATTAGAGACGTTTATAAAATCTCCAGTTCACAATTGAGGTACGATTCCATGTGAAATGGCTAAATCATAAAGAATGATTGCCTTGAATGTTTTACTCAAGTTCATAAATATAAATGTATTTATAAATTTAAAATAAATAATGATATATGTGTTTATCAATTTAATACCATTTTAATCAATCAATCAATCTTCAATCGTCTTACCTGAGATGGAATGCTACATTCCAAAAGAAACCACATAAACATAAGCCATCTTAAATAAAACATTTTGCTAGAAATCTTTAGGTGTTACTAACGTGGCTTCACTACATTTATTTGAATAAAGACTCTTGAATGTCTGCATGTCTTTAAGTAGCTAAACAATTTAATTAAAGAAGTAAGAGATTATATTTAATCTTAGCGGATATGAGTTAGGCAATATGCTTTCTATTTTAAACTACAAATTCTTGCGTTAGGTAGACCTTTCACTGCTTTGTACACAAAACGTGCCTTTTACATGGAAACTATCTCTATATATCTGACGCAAACATAGATTATCTCCCTGTTTAGCTGCAACATATTTCATAACACAGATAGTGTTGAATTTTTTCTGACGAAAGGTCAGTGCTTTCATTTTGAATCTTTACCCACGATCGGATAAAAAATAAATAGATATATAGAAAATTTTTAGAAAGGGAGAACAAAGCTTTTACGTTTAAGACCAAATATTTAAATATACCTTCACCCGAAAAAAAGTACATAGAAATCCTCTAAAATGTTATATCAAGAGAAAGAATTAGCCGTCTCCGATGATATGCTGTATACCTTACTTCGATTGACTGCAAGGGACTTGTCTTCTATTAAATCAATAATAAGAATATAATAAAATTATTTAGAGTCTAAAATCCCTAAAAATTTATTCTGTAGACATTACAACTAAAATACAAGGTTGAAAGGATCATTTTAGATTAAAAAGTAATTGTATTAAAAGTAAAGAGAACGTGGAACAAGGGGTTACATTAATCAACCCTTGAAGTCACATGGGCATGGATGACCGTGGCAGTGGTAGTGTCGGTTAGTTGTTTTTAACATGATACATGCAGGTTTATTTAACATTGGCTATCTGCTTATCCATGGTTAAGGTAATTGATTAAAACAAAGTATTGGTATTGAAGTCAAGATCAACTTTTAGTCTAAAGTTCGTTTGTAAAACCGGCCCTTGTAATTTTTTTTATAAAGTGTATATTTATTTACATTTTTTATCCTTAATATGAAGACAATTCTCAATCCTTTAAAAACTTTATAGCAAGTTCTAGCAAATGATAAGCCGTTTGCGCTGTAATGTAACCAAATAAAACTGCAGTCTTGTATAAGAAAACGATGTCTTTTCTACATACATTGCTCATTTTATTTTCTGAAAAAGACAGTGACGGATTTATTCTTAGAATAAAGTTCACTTAAATAGTATATAAGATTACGGTGTCTTTATTTCTTAACAGTAGTATCAGACGGGAGAAATATATTTCTATTCCTATAGTACTGTTCGTAATACGGTGTAGTTCAACGTCCCTTTACAGACTTTTGACATGCTTTTGGCCTGCCCCCTCCCAATTGACGGCTACACCCAAGCAGTCATACAGCTCAATTATAATATTGTTGAACGAACTTCCGAGGTTGACAAAAAAGATAAGTCATATTTTGTTTGCTTGGGCGTTTCCTCACGGTTTTGTGGCTGGCGGCCCAGCCTTCCCACATACCTAAAATCACCTAACGCCATTGTTTGGTAACAGTAGGTGTATTTGGGGTGTGTGTTGCTTATGAGGCCGGAACGAAATAAAAGGCTTTTCATTGAAAATGGGGAAAATTGCAAAAAACAACCTCAGGGGTGTCCCATCCGACACATTAAGGCATATCTAAGATGATTCGAATAAAAGAAAACCCACGGGTTATTGTAAGAGCTTGAAAGCTTTTGTTGAAAAAAAAAATGACTCGAACCTATTATTGGGCCTAAAGGGAGAAAAATGCAACCACTGGGTCGTCTACAGAGGCTCAGAGGTCTAGAAAACCAATGGGGTCAGGTGTCAGCACTCGAGTAATAAAAAACTTTGTTGGTTACGAAAGAGAGGATGATTCAGGTAATTTCCTCCTTCCTGTGGTAAGAACATCAGAACACTTGTTAAAACTGTTGAACAATGTACGTGCGTTAAGAACAGGTTTAACAGGAAAATGGAACTGACGTTAATGTGCCTTAAAATCTGCCTTTCTGTTACAATCTGCCTTTCTATTACAAATAATATAAGCATCTATAAGTATCTAATATGTGTAAAACATTACATTATCGCTGATCCCTGGTAACTGTTGAATTAAAATCATAGATATTTGCACAATTTGTAATGAGAACAGTCACTTGGGAGGGGTTTTTAAATGGGCACGATGAACACGTGTTCCTTTTCTATTACATATCAAAAGGCTTTAGGGAGCGTAAAATGTAACCGTTTGCGTCACAGAGTTTAAGAGATATAAAAAATCAGTGCTGCCATGTGTCATCACAGGGTCAGGTTAGACATAAAAAGCCCTCTTCATAATTTGCATTAATTTTTGCGGAAATAATTTGTTTTTACTTGGGTTTATGACAAATTACCTGTGTGTGTGTGTGTGTGTGTGTGTGTAAGTATAACTAATACCATATTTAGATCGTGATTGTCTCTGCTTGGAGAAATATTTTTGTCTCCCATTGTTTGCAGGGAATCGTTCTGGCTTTGCAAGGTTCAAAAGATTTTGATTAAGTCTCTCAAGCAATCTCTCTTGATCTTCATTACTGTTCACTCTTCAAGTCCTGTAACCAGTATCCATCGTGAGAGGGTATCATTATGGCGAACAAAGTCTCACAAGTCTCACATTCTCCAGTGGGTGTCACAGGTTGTACATGTAATAAACTCCCAAATCACTCGGGTTGTCGTAACTTTTGAATAAAAATTTACTTTTAAGCATTTAAGACAGCTTGAGGCTAGTGCAAGCGCGAAAATGCCGAGAATGACCGAGGCTTGAGAGAGGTAAAAAAATTCGTGATCACCGTGGTCGTGGACTGGTGACAGCCTGGTGTAAACGAGGCAGCAACAGTCAATTGACTGAAAGAAAGCACAGGTGAACGGCAAATATTAGTGAAGATATCATCTGAAGGCGAACACCGACCTCCATCAGAAACCTATTAGCTATATGTCCGGAGAGATTCCCCTCGTAATAGGTGACCTTTTCGTAACCTGTTGCTTGTCATAAACATTAATAACAATGAATGTCCATCATAATGGAGTCTAACGTGCTCTAGGCCCCCACAGGTACAGGTATCATTAGTATAATGGGGCAAGTGTCAATGCGCGTGCACTATCAATCAATTTAAGTACTATGATGTGTGCTGTATGGGCTGTTGGAAAAGCATTTTGGTCAGATTGCAAACCTTTAAAACCACTGCACTTACTGTCTTTTAACTCTGACGGCGTATCAATTCAGAAATGAACCCCCCTTACCCTCCCGAAAAGACATAAAGGAGGTTGACCCCCCCTCCTTTCTAAAATGAGAGCAAATACACCAACTAGAATCAATCAAAGCATGTGTTGTGATCATCAAACAATCAAAATATTTAAAAAAAAAACAAAAAACTGCTCCTCAAAGATTTCTAGGTTTTTGGGATAGCTGCAAGAGCGAGTGTTACCTCTTGGTGGTGGTGGTGGTGGTGGTGGGGGGGGGGGGACCTACACTGGTTCCTGGATCTCCCCGAAGTCGATATATTTTGCATCGTTTTTAGATGGTATTAAATGATACGTGGATAAGAAATTTGGTAATATGTATGATGTATCTGATGTACGTGACGTTATGTACGCTATTTGCCCCGGTAGGTTTTTCCATTTGTTATCTGAAATTGCTATTTCAGTTATTACCAAAATAAGATGTGTAACTATATAAGAGTTTTGTCTTTCTGCATTGTGTAAATGTGCTAAACTATTGAACTCAATAAAGTAGAACATGTGGTAGCAATTGTTTATCACTAATAATATAAAATTAAGTCAATTAAAATCATTACAATCCAAAGTGAAGAAATAAGTGAGGATATAATGGGGGTGGTGGGATATTAATCTTATAATTATGCCATTAATATTCATGTTTCAATTGTTATATATATATATATATAATAAAGATTCTGATAAAGTCGCATGCCGCATTGTTATACCCGGGTAGTGAGAGCCGACAACTTGCAGTTTTATACGTTTATTCTCTTCATACAAATACAAGGGTTTTTTATACAATAATCTCTTCGTACTGATCAACTTTGTGTGACCTAAAAATCTTCCATTCTACTTTGTCGATTGAATATTCAATATATCTCCTTGGGCACTAGTTCACATCTTCTAATACTAAATGTCCAAAAATATAATTTCTGTTTCGTCACATTTGAAAAGCTCACAAAGTCCAGCTTGCAGCTGTTATCATTGACATGGAAAATAAATCTTTGATTTAAAATCAACTTATTAACAAGAACCCAGGGGACGATGTCATTTTCCCATCATGCCTAAAACAAATTTCGTACTGGTATGACTCCTAACACTGTTTGACTCCTTAATTGCACTGACAGTTACATGTAATAACTTTATAAGTTTTATCTTATTGATTTTCCTGTTAATTTGGGATTAATGAAACCGTAACCTTAGACAACAGTAAATGTAGCGCACAGATTTTACATAGATAGGCCTATTATAGCATATAAAAATGAAGCCTCGAAATGAAGGTATTTTGTCACATAGATGAAGCATAATATAATTATATGTTTCATTATTTATGCCCGCCAACTATTGTATATAATATGTAGGGGTTTATACACGTTTCATGCCATTCATATTTTAAGCATTATGTCAAAAAACCAGTTTGTAAGATGATAACATGAACTGTCACGGCAGCAGCATCATATGCATGATTGTAATCAATTCATGAAGATTTTATCCCAGATTGATGAAACATATGTCATTGACAAATGATATGAATTTTTACTAATGAAGGTATTTTTCCTCATTTTTCGAATCATGAACACATATGCCTCTGTTTTAATATCACAACACCGCATGTTCCTTTTTAGTGGCAACAATATATGTTTTTCATATGTAAATAACAAAGCCCCCGGCCTACACTTTCCACTCTAGTGGGTGCTCTTTTAAGGGGCGGGGAAACACATTTAAAAGAATTGAGATTTGTGTTGGCTGCTTGTAGTTGTTATAAGGTGTGGTTTCGGAGGGAACGGAATACTGAGTTGTAGGGTGGCGATTTTCCGTACGGGCTCCCTAGCAGCAGGTAAGACTCTTTTTGAGTTTTTCGTACTGCAGAAAAATAAACATTTATAAAAATGTAACTTTTAAAATTTGACGGATGGTGCGGTGAAAAGAACGTGCTTCTTTTGATAATCAGAGTTGCATGTAGCATCTTTATATATATATATATATATATATATATATATATATATATATATATATATATATATATATATATATATACTTTGATGTGTGAAGTGTGAAAAATGGACACTTGGGCAAAGTCAACGAGAGTTTTATTTTACCGTGCGCTTGAGGTAAAACATAACGCAGAAAAGTGACAAGCCACACCTTTTCTTAAACACGTTTTTATCACAGATAAAGCTATCTATTTAAATCATTAGTAAAGAGAAGTTTATCGCAAGACGTAACTTTGATATTCACTTAAAATTCGAACTTTAGTCTATCGTCATAAGATCAATAATAATTGGCCAAAGAAATAAACAGTAATAGATCTTACAAACCTCTTTAAGGAAATGAAACAAATGAAGAAATTTGCTATCGGCTTATGTATTTCTCGAACTATCAGCTTCAACTGTGTCTAAACCGATACGGGCGTGTCAGTTTCTTACTTCATTTTGAAGTAAACTCGTCAAAATTGAGTTGTTAACCTGTTTTTGGCACCGTGACAGAGACACGATAGCGCGTCGTCAAGGTAACCATAGCCCTTAGTAACGATTAACCATACGGTTTTAATGGAGAGCGCCCTGATGATCGTGTTCACTGTGTTTAACAATGCTCTCAAAAACTGTTTTATTTCCTTGGATTATTCTACATCCACGGAGATGTAGCTTTAACTGATTGTCAGGTATTCTCTACGAGGTAAATTCATCATGCCACAGGATGTGGGGCCTTACAAAATTTAAAAAGAATTATGGGCAAATTTTTATCTTGTGGAATAAGACATTTTTTCTTGATATTGGGCGTGAGTGTGAATGTGCCCTGAGGCAACCAATGGTCACGTATAAAATGTTTGACCGGGCAGAGCTAGGTTAAGGGGTTCAAATCGTCCAGTCGCTCATTAATGATTGTTTTTTTTTTTTTGGAAATTTTAACAGTAATGCACTGTATGGTGGAAAACACTGATAGATAAACATCATTGATCACCTATCTCCCGGCGCATAAATACATTATAGCAATAAATGATGGCGGTTTAAATCGTCGGGAAACCATTTAACAGATAACGTTATCATATTAAAAGATTATTAGAGAAGACACGACAGCTATTAAGTTTACAGAAAAGTTACTAAGTTTTTATTTTATCAAGTTTTTGATTTTGATCAAGTTATATATTACAGAGGATAACTTACTCAACATAAGACGAATAGATTAAACAAAATTGGTAAATAGTTTCTCTTCTGTATTGTTCAACGTAAAGCATTCTATCAAGTTGTTTTATTTTTCTATAAAAAGTTGAACTAAAAACTAGCGAAAGAAACAGTCTAGTGGGGAAAGTAATCCGCCATGTATAACGATTATCGCGGAACAATACAAATGTTGGCAAGAGTAAGGGTATGAAGTGAATTGTAAACAAAACCTGTTCAAATTGACAACCTTTTCATGACATTTATATTAATGCAGCAGTATGGAACATAAACGAACCCAAAAAATGAACAGACTTGCTACACTTTTACTGAACCATAAAACTAGTTGAACTGCAGCCCCACCGTGTGTCTGCGTGCCCATTTTACCTAATGTGAACTCTATTATGTTGTCGGGAGGGAATGACGCATGGGAGCAACCGGGTGCCGGCCTAGGGCGTGTCAAAATAGTTGTTAAGCTGGTTTAGCGAGCGTCGTCATCTTAGACGTGGCTGGCCAGGTGACTTTACGTGCAAACTTGACTGAAATGATTACCCCCCTACTGATAGATAATTGCAAAATATTTGGAACTACTTCAAGGGAGAGCTAATTGGCTCATGTGTATAAATCTGATATCGGAGATAACACGAGGATTTTGTTCACTGAAATCCCAGGTTAAAGAAAAATCAAAACACAGAAAGCGTAAATTATATCATCTACGTCCCTTTATCTCTTTAGGTATTTCTTATTTTTCTTTCCCAAAAAACATGATAAAACATTCTCAAATGAGTCACTGCGTTCTTCTGTAATTTATACAACAATGTTAAAGTAATTATAACCTTGGAAGAAGCCTAAAAATGAAGTCCTGGAGCGATCATAAAAGTCTTCCCTCTAAATACCTTTCATCATTTACTACCGTTACTCACATATCTTGACAAAAAAACTCTTTGCACCAGGGTCTAGGACTTATTTTTCACCTCCCTCCCCCGAAGAAAAACCAAAGAGCATTTGAAAATATTGTCTAAAGTTACTTTTTTTTTCAGAGCAATTTTTTACTAGGGCGTGACCCATTCATATTCAGCTAGTGAGTAGTGGAAAAGCATCCCACTCCAGGCGCACATTCCTCCTCACTGGGGCATGCTGGATTGAGGGCCCCGACTGGAAATTTACAGAGAGCTGATTGATGGCGATAATGGATGCAAGGGCGCTGAGGGTAAGTTTTTGGAGGCTTCTTGTTATACCGTAGTAAATTTTGTCACGTTAAACACTAAGGGTTTTGCTAGGTAATGTTTTTTATTCTGTCAAGACCACGCCCTTGATTCTTCCCGCTCATTTCTTTGATCAGTTATATTGCTACTAGGATAGCATACACAGGTTTGTTATTTCACAGATAATGCTCACGGTTAAGACAGATTAGGTCAATATTGTGTAAAAACTAGTTATTATCAACAGAAGCGACGGGTGTATGCAGTCTGGGTTGGTCATAAATCACCTTTTATGTCCAAAGCTCATGACTACTGGTTTATTTACTTTACTTCACTTAAGGCATAATCCGTACTTTTCTCTATGTACCGTTCATTGTTTGAAGACATCAACCATAGTGTTCATATAACAGGACCTTCAGAGGCTAAATATATTATAAAATTTAATAGATGGACTAATTTTTCTTAGCCTAAATCTATCTTTTTCCTACGATAAACGGTGGTCACAGAAGGCGTTTTTAGTCCTTCTAACTGTCATGAGACACCACTGCCATTGTGTTGGTAGTGTGTGGGGTAACAAAGAATATTCTGAGACGCAACTTTTGTAATAAAACACACTGGCATCATCGTAATTTAATATGTTAGAATAATACATTTGACTATTCAACATCGTCCCTCTGTAATGGTTTGGAAATTACGTCTTTGATTGAACACTATCGTTTACTTGATACAGATTCAAAGGGAATAGATTTTTAAGTGGTTGTAAAACTAACAACAATATTGTTAAGCTAGGGCAAACGTAAAATTTAAGTTTTCCCAGCATCTAATAATCACACCCTCTTCCCTGACTCTACCTGAGCGGGATTCCATCATACTGTGATTAAGGTTTTCTCATAAAGAAAGTAGACACTTATGTATGTCACCGTGAGATAAAGACGAACAACACATGTACTTTGCTTTGAAATGCAGCCTTTCCCTTTAAGTTTTACTATAAAGGCATTTTTAAGAACGCGGTTGCAACATCATCAGCTCTCTAGTATTGGCTTAATGTGGGCATTGTCATGTGAGAACTGCCCAGTTAATTCCAAAGAAACCTAAGTAGAAGAAGGCGTTACGATTGTCGACTCCTCTTTTTTGTATGTAACTTTTTTGCTTTTTTGAAGTATCATTTTTGCCCCACAGTTTTTTCTACTTTAAGATTGCTGTTAAGTATGTCCGCTATGGACACCCTTGGCCTTAATTTATGGTCCCACACCTGATGGCATTTCTGTCTGTAGTAAGATCGATGCAGTTTTATATGACAACGCAGGTGATAAGATATCTATTTTATACTCTTTCCACAACTGGTGATTCTATTCAGTCAGTGATCCGATTTAAGTTATGTCTTCATGCCTTGAAAAAGTACAATGAAATAAAGCAGTCCTTTTTTTATTCTATGATGGCATATTTAAGCTGCTTATTTAAAGTTGACCTCCATCTCGGACAATCCATGTGTGTTTGAAATTGCACTAATGTAAAGACTAGGACATTGTTCAAACATGAAATAATTCTATAAACAACGAAAGCTTCTTTGACAGCTACCGTGCACTATGACTTAAGAAGTGGCGTTGTTTTTGTGAAAGATATTGCAAATATCAACATTACACTCCTGTTCATCCGACCATATTTGATTTCATTTTAAAATACCAATTTCCTTCAGGTAATTTCATGACACATATTGAGTTTTCAAAGTTAAAAAACTTAAACTTACGTACCGTCCGTCGAGCTGACCAACATAATAGATGCCTTAAATCACTCATAGAATAAGCATGGCATCTTTGATGTGAACGCCTCCTTCCCAATCCCATAATTAGGCTATACACGTGTAAACCATATAATAGAATAGTTTGATAAACATAACTGTTAAAGCAATTAGTATCATATATCATATGGATTATATTTATCATTTGATTCAAGAACTGGAACAGTTAAAATGTGCCGTTTCTATGAAATGATTCCAAGATCACATTTTACGGCCTTTTAAGCATTCAGCTTCTCTACACTTTTTTATAATCTGAGACAGGATTTCCAGTCTCTCATATAACCCAGAAACAACCAGCTATTTGTGACAGTAAGAGGTATTGGAGGGCCGTTTTAAGCGGTATATCACGTATAAACTATTGCCATGCTATCAAAGGCAACGCTTGCAAAGACAACATTACCCTGGCACACATACCATAGCCTCAAGATTGGACGCAAATTTTCTGCACGCATAATTTACCAAACCCACATGTGTTATCAGCAATTAGATCCGTCAAATTGACTAGACGCTATGCCTGGAAAGAGACTTTCATAGTGACTTTTAGTCCCTCGGTAACCTATATTTGTTTTGACACCATGCAGGGATAATACAATATACGTACATAAATGGGTCTGATGGGTTCATTTCAAGGTGGTCGTCCTCAAATGTAATGTTCAGCGCTAGAGGGCGTAGACGTCGACGAAAGGAGCAAAAAATGAACGTTTCAGTTAGCCACCTTTTTGTACTTTCAGTTGACAATTACTAAAAAAACCACAAAGTTCGACATTTTTAAGGGGGGTGTACTATAACAGGTTCCTAACTTTTGGGAAAATGAAGAACAACGTGACATTTTTCAGACGGCGGTGCCATGTAATTCTCATTATAATACGGAACAGAACAAATACGTACAGAAACAAACCCAATTTAGGAAAAGATGTCAATGGGATCAGTTTTGTATAAACTTTCATTTCACTCAGACAAAGACAAATAAATTCAACAAATTTTACTGTTGTCGCTATTTCGGTTCATGAGTAATGTAGATGAATCTATGTACGAGTCGTTTTGTTTTGACATCTTTCACCACTTTCAAACTTTTCCACAATAACAGCATTTAATTCTTATTACGATCTGATGAAAAGTATGTGTATCCATTTAAACAAGGAAACATCAAACTTCAATTTTGGTATACTGAACTTGTGTTTGTGTAAACCATTCTATTACATTTTATTATTTCACTAACCCGGTGTAAATTATATTGCACTTAACATCAGTGTATGCTCAGGCACCTTATGTTATTTCTTTGATATTTAAAACATGTTATTCCAACATTCCAAACCGCCAACCTGTCTGCACCCATTTACTTATCACACCTACACGTAAGCAAACAATGGCAAGAGAGATTATAAAAGACAGCGTCACATTAAGTAAAAGTAACTCATCGGATGACTTACACCGCGTGGGGTTATGTTGAACAATACACCTTACCTTTGAACACTCCCATTAAAGAAAATAAAGTTGTCACTTCAATAGTACATACAATTGCTCAATTTAATCAGTCCCCTCCCACTCTACCCCTCCAAGTCTTTTCAGTATATTTTGTACTAAGTACTAACCTATGAACTAATCACTTAAGCCTCGGTCACAACCGGCCGTACGGGCTCTTACGGGCTGTTTGCGTCCTAATTTTGCGCAGAATCTCACGTTCAGCGCAAGTCCTTCTTACGCAATTTCGAGTTCGCAGACAGCCCGTAAGCACGTACGGAGGATGTTGGACATGTGCGTCCGGTTGTGACCGAGGCTTTAATTTTGATATGTAAAATACGTTCTACTCTTTTATAGAACCGTTACATTGTTAATGTTTTAATGATGACCGAATGCATTTCAATATATTGTACATACATAATGATGAAATATACTGTGTCTTTTAGAAATAAATTATTGTTTCTCAAATGAAGCAGCAGGGCTGTATGTTAGATAGTTGAAGACCGCTAACCAATTTTCAACTTGCAAAGGCGGTCCATGATACAGATTTATTTTCATGACGAACAACAAAATTGCCAACAAACAAACAATTCATTCAAGTTATATGTGTAATATTTATAGAAATATAATCCATCAAACAAATTTAAAACGACTCCATAAAACGCACAATGATTATATTCTTGACAGTTCACTGACAAATGTAGAATACTGTAGAATAATGTAGAATAGTGAATAAATTAATATTATTAAAGGTAAATCTTAAACCGGGTTGCCTTGCATAAAATTTATGCACTTATGTAAAGCCCTAATGGCCTCCGCCGCATCGGAGGACCATTTCCAGACGTCGCGCAAAACTGTCGAACACCCGAGCACATTCCTCTCAGGGAATTTCCTCGATTTTTGCCGTGATTGCTGCCCTTCAGTTCACCAATTGTTTGAGGGTTGTTCTGGTACACATTAACCAGAGGGGATCACCCTGTATAATATTTGTAAAATAATTGATATATATATATATATATATATATATATATATATATATATATATATATATATATATATATATATATATTTGAAGTATCATATTTTCTCAAAATACAGAATTCATTTTGAGCCTATCTCTGGCACCCCTCTCCTCAAAATACATTATATTAATACCAAATGATACGTTTTTTTTCAATATGACACTTTTTTCATGTAGAATATATGTGCTCTGTGGCTACTGCTTCTGTCCACCAAGGCAACAAAAAGTTTTAGTGTGGTCGAAATGGCAGAGGGATTTAATAACTTCCCAAAGGGACCGCTCCAGGATGATAGTGAGTATTAAACTACTAAGCACGAAATGCTTTCTCTTCTAGCTAATTTGCATTAAAATGCTTCATAAGATGTCACTAAAGTGAAAGTAAAACCGAAGAGTTAGGCCTTTATGCTGGTTCATTAATTAAGTAGTTACATATATATCATACAATCCATTCTTTTCTAAACATTTTTGACATCGAAATTATAAAACACTACCAATTTTGTAATATGTGTCATTTTGCTTAATAGGTGGAAGCTTGCGGATAAGAAGACAAACAGACGGCCAGACTGGTGAGATCTTATACATGTTCTTCTCTTTGATTTATATTTAATTCTTGTATTATTTGTTGTGAGAAATGATACAAAGATTGAATATTGCGCCCCCCTCTCTTTGTCTTTCTTTATCGCTCTATATTAACTTGTTGTAACAGTGCAATAAAATGTAATGAGTAACAGAGTCTTTAGCCTCGGTCACAACCGCCGTACGGGCTCTTACTGGCTGTTTGCGTCCTAATTTTGCGCAGAATCTCACGTCCCACGCAAGTCCTTCTTACGCAATTTCGAGTTCGCAGACCCCGTAAACACGTACGGAGGATGTTGGACATGTCCAAAAGATTCTACGAATAGCCTGCGAACAGCGAGGCCGCAAGCGTAACTTGCTCCCCTCGCACGGAGTTAGCAAGAGAGACGCGCGTTGTGCAAGACGCACGTCGCAAGCAATGAAGGAGCAAGTGCCCTTTGCGTGTTGAGTAAGGCGCACGCCCTCACAACTAACGAACAAAGTCGAGAGCACACCGGGAATGCGTCGCACGTGCGTCACCCCCCACGCCTGATGTATAAAAGGCGTGCTCACAACGCACGCTCGTGTCTTTACAATGAACGTCCACTGTGTAACGTGTACGACAATTTCGTGCGTCCGGTTGTGACCGAGGCTTTTACTGTTGTAAGTTGTATGAAGTACCAAATACTGACGACATTCAGTAGGTGTAACTTGGAATGTATTTAAAGTTTCTTAAAGTTGTGTAGCAAACTAAAGCGTTTGTGGATACTTTGAACGTTGGAGACATGATCAAAGCATAAAATCGTTGACATTTTGAAATACAAAAACCTCATTTTAGAGACACTTCAGACTTACCGTATATCTCTACGGGTTTATTTCAATAAAAATGATTTTTAAACCTAACCTATTCTTGTCCTCCCTTTTCTACTCATCTTCTCTCTCATAATGATTGTTCTTTTTGTCTCTATTTTCAGTAAAAACTGCTGGAGGAACAGAATTTGTGATAATGTTTATGAACAATATTGTTGAGTCCAGTGACACCACACCCTTAGAATTATATTACACTGGCGCTGATGACGCCATAAGCACAAGGATAAATGTCAATGTGACATACTACAGCCCGGCAAGTGGAAGCATACAGCATATAGAGCGTGTTTTGATGAGATCGACCGATATAGACTCCGTTCAATTAGACTACCAGCTGAGGACTATGACAAAAAATTCCATATCCAACTTTGGAGTTCAGGTGACATCCAGCGAAGCTATTATTCTGTACGGTATGAATAAAGCGCGTTATTCCTCCGACGGCTTTCTTTCTATCCCTGCCTACGTACCCGGAAAAGAGTTCATAACAGTTGGCTATCACCCTCCCACCACCGCATCGCAGATAGGCATAGTGGCCCAGCAGGACAACACCATGGTAACTGTGAGGCTACCGGCTAACAGAGTCTTACCTGGCAACATCACTACGTCCATCGAGGTGAGGGATCCAAATACTCAAGCCATTGTTACAGCAGGAGGTACAATCACCGTTACACTTAATCGTTTGCAAACCTACCTTATTGTAAGTAATGCCGATGACGGAGAACTACCAGCAGCTTTTAATTTGTTGAAGGGAGATTTGACAGGTACACATATAACCTCAGACAAAGACATATCTGTCTTCAGTGGTAACATCAGGACTTCGATATTGCCCCCTGCTAGTATAGATCAGCCTTCGAGAGACCATTTAGTAGAGCAGCTGCCACCTTTGGAGACATGGGGTCAAAACTTCATCACCGTTCCAGTCCCACGACCAGCGAGCACAGCTCCTCTGTACGATTTGTTCCGGATAATCAGCGGCTCCCTTAGTCCCAATACCATCACCATATATCATAGCAGTGATAACATTACAACACTAACCATCAACAACCAGGGTGGCTCTGTCGATGTCAAAATTGGTACCTACGCATACATCGTTTCTGCTTACCCAGTCTTGGTTGCCCAGTTTGTCTTGAGTCAGCAGGTTCTAAATGTTGACAAGGCAGATCCTAGTATGATCTTGGTCCCGCCAATTGAACAATACCACGACGATTACCATTTCACAACACCAGCTGCAGTTGGTACCACTTACGACCATTTTTTCCTAATCGCAATACGAGACAACTTCAGGGGTTCTGTGTTACTTGACGGAGCGGCGCTACCGCCCGATACAACTTGGACCACTATACCTGGTTTAGGTGGATACAGTGGGGCCGTACTAAGTATCGCTGCCGGTGGTCACAATATTACTCACAATTCTGAGACTTTTTTGGGTATACTGTATGGAGCCGGGGACAGAGAGAGTTATGGACTGCCTGTTGGAATGCGCTTCAATCGAATTGTTCCGGTAAGAATGATTAAATTAATATATGAACAATTTTACAGTTTGGAGAGATTACAATGTAGTCATTCAAATAATGTATAGTAAAACATCTTTTTTCACCACCTTTTCTTCAGTCATAATATACCCTAAAGGTACCCCCCCTCCCCCGATGAAATAGTATCCTATATCATTGTTATCATCCTTATATGATGGTTGCACGACCAATCGCTTTAATTTGTTTGTCAGCCATTCCTTAGTTAGCAAAATACTTCGATGAATAATAACACACCTTTTTAAAACTATCAACCAAATTAGCAACTGAGGTCAAGTACCGTACTAGTGGGTTATATTTTGGATAGAGTTAGCTTGAAATATTGTTCAAAAAATTTTTTTAAAAGATAATATACCACAGCTAGCTGGCCTGTTAACGAAAAGAACTTATACATGCACAAAGCATAAATATATTCTTAAACAGACAAACTTGCAAGAAAAGGGGGGGGTTGAATAAAGTGTCTAAGTGTCTATAGGTTTTTATTGTTCTGTAACAAAACATGCGTGCTGTATGCCTAACGGTCACTTATGGACATGGGCATACAATTTGTTAGCAACCATGTTTGAGTTGTGGGAGGACGACTTTTTGTCCTGACAAGAATTGACTCTCAGTATTCGTGTCTGTCAGGAAAAAATAAGTTACCGTTTCATTAAAATTTGCTTTGACGGAGTTATTCACACTAAGTCTGCTCTTTTGGTTGAATTCTGTTAAGTGGTTAACGAGCAGAACCTTTCCTAATTTTGAGGAAATCAAAAATGTTCAGTTTTTAAATTTAGAAATGCATTGGCCCTTGGTATGGTAAGTGATTAAAAGTAAAAACAACCCCATGGGAACCTTAATGCTCTCGTTTTATGCTCAAAATCCGCCAACACTATGGGTTTGTCATTCAACTCCCCTAAAATAACACCGACCAAGCCTCAAATTTAACTGCCATGCTCTTTGAATTATCATATTTGAAAAAGCAAAACAAAACGAGACAAAAAAAAGTCAGTTTCGTCGCTCGTTAAGCAACTTATCCACTTTGTCAGACCTTCGAAAAAAATATTTTATAATTAACTTAATGATGTCCCGTTTTCTTTTTTCAGCTTCCTCCAGGTATGAACGAGTGCTCAACCCCTTAACTCGTAGCTGAAAACAAAAGTTTGATGTTTAATCTTTGTTATACTTAGTATCAGAATATCAATATTTAAGTAATAGTCGTGATTCTATTATATGATATTGCTTAAATGTCACAAAATGTGATCAGAATTTAGTAGAAATGTGGGCAGATGCGCTAATTGATTTTAAAATAATCATAAATATCATTCTACGTATTTTATGTTTTTAACAAAGGTAAACCGTTCTAAAACCTGGCTAATCAGTACTCTTTTACAGGCCCAACAGGACCAACTGGACCGACAGGTCCAACAGGGCCTACGGGGGCCACAGGCGCAACTGGTGAAACTGGTGCAACTGGACCTGCAGGACCCAAGGGAGATACTGGTCCGAAGGGAGACACAGGGGCAACGGGAGCCACTGGAGGGACGGGTGCTGCAGGCAACACTGGGCCAACTGGGCCAACTGGACCCACTGGCAGTAAAGGTGCTTCCGGAGAAAAGGGTGCCATTGGTTCCACTGGTCCAACAGGTTCCACCGGTGCCACAGGTGCTACAGGTCCTAGAGGAGAAACTGGAGCAACTGGACCACGTGGAAGTGTTGGTGAAACTGGGCCGCAAGGTCCAAAAGGTGCTGTAGGTGCGACAGGCCCTGCTGGTATGACTGGTGCAACAGGTTTAAAGGGGGATAAAGGTGACACCGGAGAAAAAGGAGCTATTGGCCAGACAGGAGCAACTGGCATGAAAGGCACCAGTGGACAACAAGGCCCAACTGGGCCCGTTGGGCCCACTGGTGTAACAGGGCAGAAAGGTAGCAAAGGGGAAATTGGCATCAAAGGAAACTCTGGAGTGGATGGTATAAAAGGTGAAAAGGGTGTACAAGGGGACAAGGGCAGCCTTGGTTCAACAGGACCGAAAGGGAATCAAGGGAATACCGGGAATACAGGGCCAGCTGGAGCAAAAGGACAGAAAGGTGAATTTGGCGCAACAGGGGAAACGGGACCTGTTGGCCCAACTGGACAAAAAGGAAATTCTGGTGCAATTGGTGCAACCGGACCAGCCGGCAATAAGGGAGAAAAAGGGCAAATTGGTGCAGTAGGTGCCACTGGCGCCACAGGCCCAACTGGGGCAATTGGCCCAACAGGCCCTCAAGGACAGAAAGGAAATGTGGGTGCCAAGGGCGAAATAGGAGCCAAGGGATCGATAGGAAATACTGGTGCGACTGGCAGTACAGGCCAGAAAGGCGACAGAGGACAGATTGGACCAACAGGTCCAACAGGATTGACAGGCTCCCAAGGTATACAAGGAGAAACGGGTCCTAAGGGAGACAAAGGCATGCAAGGAGAGAAAGGTACACAAGGTGAAATTGGTCCGACTGGCCCCACAGGAACTAAGGGAGAGCAAGGAGCTAAGGGAAATGTTGGCAATACTGGACCAGTGGGAAGTAAAGGGGACAAGGGAGAAATTGGAGCAGTAGGTCCAACTGGCAGCACTGGCGCTACTGGGTCTAAAGGGGACAAAGGAGATCTTGGCCCCAAAGGTGTTCAGGGTCAAACTGGACAGACAGGTCCTCAAGGCAATACTGGAAATAAAGGAGAAGTAGGGCAAAAAGGAGAACAAGGAATACAAGGAAATACCGGTCCCACTGGGGATGTTGGTCGTACAGGAGAGAAAGGGGCCATTGGTGATAAAGGGCAGAAAGGTGTACAGGGTTTTACTGGAGCAACTGGATCTACTGGCGCCACAGGTGCTACAGGTGCCACAGGAGCCACTGGTCCTAAAGGTGATTTAGGATCAAAAGGTCAGAAAGGTGCTATTGGACAAACAGGAGTTCAAGGACCCAAAGGATCACTAGGGCCTACTGGAGCGACTGGCGTCACCGGGAATAAAGGTGAAAAAGGTGTTCAAGGCCAAATTGGAAATACTGGACCAAAAGGAGCCAAGGGAGAAATAGGCAACACAGGGCCTACAGGAAGTGTTGGTCCGACTGGTGCAACTGGACCACAAGGGATTTCTGGAATTAAGGGGAATGTTGGAAACACAGGGCCTACTGGTTCTACGGGTGCGATTGGCTCCACTGGAGCCACGGGTCCAAAAGGAAATGTGGGAAATACGGGTCCAAATGGACAAAAAGGAGTGCAGGGAGAGAAAGGCAATGAGGGGCCGACTGGAGCCACTGGAGCTACAGGGGCCACAGGCCAAAAAGGTGCAATTGGTGGCACTGGCCCAACTGGGGCAACTGGTTTAACTGGTCCTATAGGAGTAACAGGCGCGACTGGTGCTGTAGGGCAGACGGGCCCAGCTGGAAGCACTGGACCAAAGGGTAATAAAGGAGAGATTGGTGCATCTGGGCCAACTGGTCCAAAAGGCAATATAGGGGCAACAGGAAACACTGGAGCTACTGGTAGCACCGGAGCAACTGGACCCGTTGGTTCTACTGGTCCTGTAGGTTCGACTGGAGCAACAGGGGTTACTGGCGCTAAAGGGAATATAGGAGCCACGGGACCAATTGGTGCCACAGGAGCAACTGGTGCCACTGGCATCCAAGGTAACACAGGACCAAAGGGAGAAAAAGGTAATATAGGTAATACGGGAGCAACGGGTGACAAGGGTGCTCAGGGTAATACAGGACCCAAGGGACAGAAGGGGGCCTTAGGTGCTAAAGGGCAAAAAGGTGAATTTGGACAGAAAGGTATTAAAGGAGAGTTAGGAGAAAAAGGTTCCGTTGGTGCGACAGGAGTAACTGGGTCCAAAGGAGAAAAAGGAAGCATTGGGAGTAAAGGTGACAAGGGTTCAATTGGTTCAACAGGACCAGTTGGGGCCACTGGCTCCCAGGGAAACACTGGACCCACCGGTGCAACGGGTTCCACTGGTCCAACTGGTGTTACTGGTGTGACAGGAGCTAAGGGCACTAAAGGTGATCAGGGTGTCCAAGGCAATACTGGCCCTGTCGGATCAACCGGTGCCACGGGCCCCACGGGCTCAACTGGGGCTACAGGCCAAACTGGACCAAAAGGAATTCAAGGGCAAACAGGATCTAAAGGATCTGTCGGGGATAAGGGAAGTAAAGGTGATGTGGGAAATACTGGTGCTACCGGACCTGTGGGTGCAACTGGAGCTATGGGAGGCACTGGACCTGTAGGTGCCACTGGTCAGAAAGGTGCAGTTGGTGCCACAGGAAATACAGGGCCGAAGGGAAACATTGGAAACACTGGACCGATAGGTGCAACGGGGCCAACAGGGGCAACAGGAAGCACTGGACCTGTTGGTGCCACTGGTCCTGTAGGTGCCACGGGTGGTAAAGGAAACAAAGGAGAAAGAGGTGCACAAGGTCTGACAGGAGCAACTGGTACAACTGGTCCTGTCGGTGCAACTGGTGTCACTGGTCCACAGGGAAATAAAGGCGATAAAGGTGAAATAGGCAACAGTGGCCCCATGGGTCCCAAGGGAAATGTTGGAGCAACTGGAGCCACAGGTTTTAATGGAAATACAGGGCCAACAGGGGTGACTGGACCGGTGGGTGCCACTGGAAATACAGGCCTCCAAGGTTTAACAGGATCAACGGGTGTAACAGGTCCAAAGGGTCAGAAGGGTGAAACAGGGAATGTAGGCAGTACTGGTCCAACTGGCCCCGTGGGATCCACAGGCAAGTGCATTAACTAGCTAAGCTAGATATAACGGGTTTGATATCTAGAGACTTATATATTAAATGCTAACCCTTAATGGAATCAATTTTAAATGCTTATTTTAGGCATAATTTATTTTTCGTTTATATGAATCATTGCAATTTATATATATAACATAAGCCTGAGTTTTTGAAAAAATTTAATGATTAGGCACTACTGGGCCACAGGGCAACTCTGGTCCAAAGGGCGAGATAGGTGAAAAGGGGGCTGTTGGCAGTACAGGTCCAGTTGGAAGCACTGGTGCAACAGGGCCAGTAGGTGCAACTGGAGCCACTGGACAACAAGGACCAAAGGGAGATGTTGGAAACGTAGGTCCCACTGGCCCGAAGGGTGCTGTAGGTGCCACAGGTGAAACTGGACTGATTGGTAATACAGGCCCGATGGGTCCTAAAGGCAATAACGGCAATACTGGAGCCACTGGACCTGAAGGTGCCACTGGTCCCCAAGGACCAAAAGGTATCCAGACGTCTTTTAGCCAGTACTCTTCTTGTTGAACAATAAACTGGATAATTATAAATTTTGAAATGTCAAAAGTACTACATTCTTCGTGATAAAATATATTGATACTTATAAGCAAATATTTCTGTAACGTGAAAAACAAAAATATTGTGTAGATTTTTAAAACTTCTATATGCTTTGGCACTGTTACTTATGGTCAGCATTGTTATTGTCAAATTTTCTCACTTAGGTGAAAAGGGGATTCAAGGAATTTCAGGCATTACCGGTTCTAAAGGAAACCAAGGCGAAAAGGGCGTTATCGGACCCACTGGGCAAAAAGGGGAACAAGGAAATACGGGGTCAGTTGGCCCAACTGGTGTAACAGGACCTATTGGACCTAAGGGGAATGTAGGGGCAACTGGATCCACTGGACCTGTTGGTGCGACAGGACCTACTGGTACAAAGGGAGAGAAAGGTGTCATTGGGTCCACTGGACCAAAAGGAGCCGTTGGCGATAAAGGAAGCAAAGGTGATGTTGGACCCATGGGTGCTACTGGCGCAACAGGGCAGAAAGGAGAGACTGGTGAAAAGGGTGTGCAAGGTATATCGGGGATAACAGGCGCCAAAGGAGAACAGGGCCTACGAGGACCAAAGGGTGAAGTAGGAGAAAAAGGGAGCAAAGGAGAGATAGGAAACACTGGTTCGACAGGTGCAACAGGTCCTGTTGGAGCAACAGGCCCCGTGGGAAATACAGGTAATGCTTTAATTATTGTGTTGTGAGCACTTTATGAATTTTAGCCATGTTTGAGTATTGCGGTATATTTACGCGCGTTATTTATGGGAGGAACTCTCTAACATATCATATACATTAGCTGATGCTGTTTAAAACGGATTCTGATCATTCCATATTAGGGGCAACTGGTCCATCGGGACCAACGGGAGGTACAGGACCACAGGGACCAAAGGGTGAACAAGGAAATAAAGGAGATCAGGGGAATTCGGGACCGATAGGTCCAGTCGGTTCCACTGGATCTGTTGGCCCGACAGGTGCGACAGGATCCACAGGTCCAGTTGGAAGTACGGGGCCCATTGGACCTACTGGAGGCACAGGGTCTATGGGACCCGCAGGACCTACAGGGGTCAAGGGTGAACAAGGTGTCTCTGGGATAAAAGGCCTGAAAGGAAATGTTGGTAAGTTATATTTCCGTGCAGCAGTTTTAAGATGATCGTTTTAAGATGAGTTTAATGATGTACGAAGAATAAACAATAAGCACAAGATAACAGTAAATATTCCTTACATTAGACATAAATATTATTGCGTTTAAGTGAATGTGTCATCGAGTTGACTAGATTCTTCTTTTACGTTAAGGCGCTAAAGGAGAAATCGGAGAAAAGGGTTCCAAAGGAGATCTCGGGTCGACGGGCTCTACTGGACCAACAGGTCCTTTTGGTCAAAAGGGTGACCGGGGAGCTACGGGACCAGTTGGAGCTACTGGACCACAAGGCATCGGTGGACCACCAGGACAAAAAGGAGTCCCTGGCTCAGCTGGCCCAACTGGAGCAACAGGCCAGAAAGGTGAAGTTGGTGGTGTTGGAGCAACAGGAGCAACTGGTCCACAGGGTGCAACTGGAAACAAAGGTTCAAAGGGCGAAGTTGGGGTCAAGGGGGAGGTGGGTGCAACAGGAGTATCAGGACCCCAAGGTGCAGTGGGCGCAACTGGTTCGACTGGACCTATGGGTCCAACAGGAGAGAAAGGGGCGCTCGGCCAGAAGGGCGAGCGGGGATTGGTTGGACCAACTGGACTTAAAGGTAATGCAGGAGAAAAGGGAGAAAAAGGAGCATTGGGATCTAAAGGAGATACTGGATTAACTGGTGCTACAGGATCAAGTGGCCCCACTGGACCTCAAGGGAACAAAGGTGAACCAGGTGCTCAAGGGCCAAAAGGTGAACCTGGTTTTAATGGTACAAGAGGACTGAAGGGAGATGTTGGGCCACAAGGGCCACCAGGTAAATTATTTTTAATATATATATATATATATATTCAACATAACATCGTACGGTTTTGGTCTTCTGAACGCACGAAACTGTATAATCTGCATATGCTATGATTTCAATTCAAAACAATACACGGAGCTCTTTTAAGTAGATAATATTAAGTGCACTTAATTCTTACTTTGTTCTTAGCATGCTACCTATTTTTCTTGTTCTTTTACAGGAGTAACCGGTAAGGATGTCCTTCCGATGTTAGGGGAATACAGACTTGGTGAAATATTTTAAAAAAGTGATAACGAAAGCTTTTCGTGTACAAATTATGCTGCATCAACTATCAATGGATGGTTAATACACAGATAAAGGTCACTCTCCCCTTGATTAATTTAAAAAGCAGTGCTGAAAAATAACAATACTGAGCTGAAACATATAGCAAAAAAATGTGTTATCTGTCCATCTCCCTTCAGTAACTTAGTCAGGTGTGTGTCTATTTCAGATGTCGACGAGTGTAACTTTAATAATGGTAACTGTAGTCAGCTGTGCATCAATACAATTGGGAGTTACTACTGCTGCTGCTACGATGGGTATGAACTAGAAAAAGAAAATCTGGTAGTGCATAGTCAATTGGCAGATATTTCCCAATGTCTTGTCACAGGTAAGATATATATATATATATATATGGTACATTTTCATTACATTTGGATTTGCAGGTATAATTTTATTTCTGAAGCATATGAAGAAGCATGCTACAGTTTGTTTCATATTCAATTTTGTCTAAGTTAAGATAATTGATTTCATTTATTTTGTCCCACTGTCGCTAAGTTGAATTATGTACTATTTACTTAAACACCCGATTTAGTGACTCGTTGTGTGACAGTTTATAGTTATCCGTCAACTTATATAAAGATAATCCAACGCCAGGTGTGATCTCGCCGATTTATATTATTTTTTACTTAAATCGATAAGATTTAACAAAGTTGTTTTTTCAGGATCAAGGAAGAAAAGACAGACAGCGGATTCTACAGGTTAGTTCCAATTTTAAGGCAATTTAGGTTCTTGTTTTTCATATGTTTTAAATTATGTCATATCCAACATCTTTCATTTACTGGAGAAGGTTGTCGTCTTAAATAGTCAATGTGACATTGTTCTTTGACACGGTCATTTTGTGCTGTAAGTAAATTTTAACTGATGGTTACATTTCATTACATCCAGACATCATCGACGCAGAGGGCAATGTGTATATGCTTATGTACCTTAACAACATAGTAAATGACAGTCCGGACAATACAGCCACCCAGGAGATGTTTGTTACCGCCGGCAAACAAGATGTTAATCAAACTGTTGTGGTAACAGTAACCTATTACGATACCAGCGGGGTGAAGGTATCTTTCGACTATACCATAAACCCCGGTGCCGTTAGAAGAATTGATCTCTCAGGAAGAGGGCTGTTGACAACTGGAACAGGAATGTCCATGAATGGCATAGAACTAAATAGTTCGAACCCTATCATTGTCTACCCTGTTAACAAAAAGTCCTATTCTACTGATGGTTATTTAGCTCTTCCGGTTGATGGTTTGGGTGTGAGATATTACGCTGTGTCCTACCCTCCCTATGATGAAGAATCTGCTTCAGTATCTTTAATTGGAGTTGTCTCTCCGTCAGACAATAATATTGTCCTCATCAAATTACCCACTCTGGGTGGACCAATCAGTTTCAATGGTTTCCAGTACGGAAGTGGCGAAACTATTAATATAACCCTGCAAAAATTCCAAACAGCACATATAGAGAGTGGCTATGATCTGACAGGAACTTTTATTAATAGCCAGGAACCGGTGTCTGTATTTAGTGGGAACGGTCGAACAGCAATTCCTAAAACAAGAGCCTCAAGGGACCATCTTGTCGAACAAATTCCACCAGTGCAATCATGGGGACGAGATTTTGCAACAGTTCCAATCCCGGATAGAACAGTTGGAGATTACTTCCGATTTGTTGCTAGTCTTGAAAGCACAACTATTTCTGTAACCAGCAGCAACGGGACCAAATGGACGTACACTATAGCTAATGCTGGTGGTTCTATACAGGATATCGTCAATTTCAAATCTACTGACCGCTACCGCATTGTGTCCAACAAGCCAATTTTGGTAATGCAGTTCGTTACAAGTCAGTTAACGGCATCGGACGGCGAAGTGGCTGACCCAGCTATGGTCCTGATACCTCCTGTGGAGCAATACAGCCGAGATTATCACTTCTCACTGCCAAGTTCGCAAAGTGCTATTATTTTGGGTAACGAGCCCTTCCGACATTTTGCGCTCATTGTCATAGAGGACATGTATAAAAATGATCTACTGCTGGACGGTGTTGCTGTGACTTCAGTAAATTGGTTGAGCATTGCAAATAACCCTGCTGCAACAGCGAAAAACAATCTCGTCGGAGGCTATATAAATGTGACTGGTGAGAACATGCCGCATGTTATCAGCAGCAGTAGAAGTGAACCGTTCACTTTCATGATGTTACTGTATGGTGCAGGAGACAGAGAAAGCTACGCTTTTCCAGTGGGGATGAAATTAATCAAAATAAATCCGGTAAGGAAATAGATTTGTCTCATGAGGGTTCTCTCTCTCAACATAATAATAATAATTTTGATAATAATATGTATTTAAACGACAGTAGTTACATGCTAGGATGATGCGTGCTATAAATACATGCTTACAATTGGTAACTTGATTCAAGCATGCTTTGGCGAATGTAAATAACCCTAATCGCAGTAATTTTTCAATATGAAAACCACAAAAAACTTCTGAACCTATCATTTTAGTGTGTTTTTCAAGTATCTTATCTTTTTAAGTAATTTGAAAAAGGCACAATGTATATCGATGTTTGTTCTCTAATTTTCATAATGAATGTTTATTAATTTTCTTTTTTAACTTCATATCCTTGTCCCTGCAGCCTTCTCCTCCAGGTAACCGAATTTTGTTTAATTGAATTAGAAACCTGTATGTCAGTAACAAATTCAATCTGTATCACCTGTTATCTGTTTCAAGTCAAATGTAGATATACTTTTGTTTTACTAATTAAGTAAATTTAATATGGGGAAGTATGGTATATTTCAAACCCCAACATCCCATTTCATCAAGGAAAGTAATTAGAAAGGCATTTTCTGGATTTATCTACTGTGACTTATTTTATTCCAACTGGTAAACTTTATTGTACTGGCAAACTCTTTAATTCCCCAATGTCACGTTCCAGTCTGCCGTACCAATGTGGTTGGAGAGTGCTGTTCGTGTGACGTTGGTGGCGGTGTTATGATGCCATACAGTGGAGACTGCTGCATAGGTAATTTCCATGAGCTTTCAAAGTGGAAAGAGGGACAGTCGATTTAACATTCAAATCTACCTGTCTAAATTTTGCTTTTTTTTCTCTGTGTAGTATATTTTTAAACATATGTCCGGTGATAAACTGGCGATGGTGTGCTAATAACAATAACCTTTACCAACATAGAGGAAATTGTAAACATATCAACAAGACCGCTGATGTTTTCATCGGTGAAAAATAAAATGAGTAACAGTGCTGAACTGTTTTGGTTTCCTTCTGATGGTCCGTAACGTGCAACATACTAGTCTGCCATTAACCTTTTTTATTTTTGTTTATTTAATACATATATGACGTTATATTTTCAGCTGAAAATGTGGAGTGCTACTCGCCGTGCTGTGGAATAGTGTATTGTTATTGTCAAGTTGGAAGCGTTCGCGTTCCACTGAATAAAACAAACTGCATAGGTAGGTTTCGTTTTATCAAAACTTTTCTGTTATCACCAAGCAATATTTTAATCATTAATTTGTATTGTATAAGGTTCTAAAGTGTAACTCCCCTCTAATTCTGTAATGAACTCTCTGTCCTTAGATATATGAAAAAGTAAACTTACAAAAATTTGGCCGTGGCTACCATGTATCAATTTTTATTGTTATTCGTAGATACCAACGAGTGTGCAATAGACAACGGAGGCTGTGCTCACACGTGCACAAATACTCAGGTTGGACTCGGTTTTAACAGACGTGGCTATAACTGTAGCTGCTTTGATGGATATAGATTGTCCGACGACAGCCATGAGTGTTTGGGTAAGTTTTTATTAATTTATTTATCTATTATTTTTGTATTTATCGGCGATATTATTTTACATGCACCAATTTGTGATAAGATAACGTGTGTGAGCGTTTTATGAGATGCCCTGAGAGCTGAAAAGATAAACGTGCATACGTTCACTCAAGTGTTTTGAAGCCCATTGAAATTAACTGTGGTTAGCACCATTAGGAATCGGCCGTTTTAAAAAGATGCACAATGTATAACTCTGGATAGAATAACTGTTACTGCATTACTTCAATTAATGGATAACACGAGAAAAAGATCTAGTTTTTTAACAAGGATAAACATCACATATGTATGATAGGGCCGAAGCCGGTCAATCTTCAGCAAACGTCAGTGGAAGTATTGATCCATGGGTCATCTTTTTCCGATATGATCTCTAGTTGTTCTTGGCTCGCGTATAGTTATCAGCAGTAGCACACGAGGAAGATCAAAAGTTACATTCTCGTTTTAGTTTGAGAGGAGAAAAAAATCTCCAGTTTGATATGGACACAAGTACAAACATAACACAACACGTTTTCGTTTTTTTTCCAGATATTAACGAGTGTGAGACGGCGATAGGAAGTAACATTTGTGACAATAACCGTGACTGCGTAAACACAATTGGCAGCTTTTACTGCGTTCGCGATGCTATTCCACCTTCACCAGGTAAGCAAGTCTTTACTTTCATTTAGTGTTGCCATGAGGCGCTGTGCTGGATATCCCTTGAGTCACCAACAGAGTATAAGAGATTACGATGTGGCTTGAGGTTGATACTAGAACACCCCCGGACAATTCCCACAGAGGACCCCCCCCCCCCCCACCACCACCACCACCACCAAAAATATACATTTATATGCAAATATTAATTTGTGTTAAGTTCAAAACATTTCATTCATTTTAATAATATTTTTACAGTGTGATAATAGAACTTCATCATTAAACAAATTAGTTTATAACAAATTCGTTTTTTTATTAAGTACAAGTACAGAAAGTATTATTAAATATCTAATCAAAGTATAACCACCTATCCTCCAGGTAAAGGTGGGGAAAACAGACGAACGTTTATAAACAACAGACGTTACGTAAATAGATATGAATATTTTCAGTGTGGTGGGTAGTGGGTAGAAGTCAAGCAGTTAAAAGTGATGCAAATAATCAAAGGGATGCCTAGATAAGCGAGAAAAATTTGTTCATCGTACCTTTCCCTAGAGATGAACCTTGATTCAAGGCTTACTTTAATCAAGGGTGGATTAATGAAACAAGAAAAGTAACAGTTATATCATCAAAGTGTTACCTGAATGAATGAGATCATCTGTTTACCCCACTTTTACTAGGTGATATACTTTGATCAGATTTTAAATTAAATTTTCTATACTTCTATTTCTAAAATTTTTGTTTACTTGTACTCCATGAAAATAATTTGTTAAATGAAATTAACATTTTCTATCCTCGAGTTGCATCATCACACTAAGAAATATTCATTAAATGGATGAAAAGATTCGAACTTTTTGCTTTTTCATTTATATTTTTATACAAATAAATATTCATTGGGGGAGGGGGGATTGTCCTGAAACCCTTGAAGCTGTTTGTTTGTTCGGCTAAATTTGCCTGATGTCAACGATTTAACCTACGTCTTTTGCTAATAAGGAAAGAAAATTGAATGCCACGCTCATTCTGCTAAAGAATTATTAAATTGTACTAAAATTTAATATACATTTGAAGAAATGGCATTAGAAACGTAGGCAGAAAGGAAAGAAAATTGTGACTTATAGTCAGTTTTATAGAAAATATAAAGTCCATCTGACGTTTGTGTACTGCTATCACCACAAATTAATTTAATATTAATTTCAGTGTATTATATTCTATATAGTAACAGGGATGTAAATGAGATATAATTCTTTGATTGTAACCACCACTTTATTTTAAGCCGCATCCGGTTTAGAAGGAGGGCCACAGGTAATTCGAATGGCCCAACAGACAACCAGTACCCAGTTTAATTCACTTACTATTTGGACAGCAGTCCTTTCCATACTGCTCGTGTTGGTAATAGCATGGAACTTCCGAAAATGGCAAACAGACAGGCGAAGAAAGAAAAAGGAAGACGATATCATGGATTCTGCGTCCATAGAGACATTTAGTCCTCGCGATATTGATTTTTCATTACGTGGCAAAACAAATGACGCCTACATAAAGAACGAAGAAGAACAGTCTAATGATTGTAATTAACTCTCTTGCTCACGAGGAAAACTGATGTCCATAGCATTTCTACCCCCTCTTTTGAAGAAGAATCGTTGAAATTTTCAGCACAGAATTGAAAAGTAGTGTGCCATAGTTGTAGAATGCTTCCATAACATGTATTCAATCTCTCTCTCTCATATATATATATATATATATATATATATATATATATATATATATATATATATATATGAGCGCGGATACATTTAGGTGGTCGAGACGGCACATTTATTAATTGTCACAATTAATTGGTTTAAACTGATTTGAAAACTTTTAAAATATGAGTTGGAGTACAGTGTAGAAGTCAAATAGTATATTTGTAAAGCGCCATATTTAACATATTGTACAGTGCTTTCTTTATTATTATTTTTTTTTTTAAGTCACTTGGCCTTCTTTTTTCCCCACTCATTTACGAAAAAGAATAAGCAATCCACTACAGTGCCCTATGTCAGAAATGCCTGTCCTTAAATATGTTGTTGCATAATATTTGGACTCCTTAAGATTTCTTTAATCTAGTTTTTTCTTTTTAATTCAAACGAGGCAAACCCGCATTCAAGTTGATTAAGTAAGATTGTGAATGAGCATTCATGTGGAATAAGCTATGATTACTTAGTTAAAGTCTTGACAAGAACAGGTGGTCACTGTACTGTTTAAAAGATCAAATATTTGCAAACCGGGATTACGCAACTTAGACACACTTAATTGTGCAACTATTTGAACAAACCTTCTGTTTATTATTTTGTCACGAACCTCCTTCATGTGTCCGATGTTTATTCATGTAATTTTCGCTGCTTCTTAGAATTGTGCGAAATTAAATTAGTAGTTGAGTTTGACTTTTGATAATTAATTAATATGTTGTTTTGCGAGGATGGAAAATTCAAACCATGTTTACTGCGCGTAGAATTAAACAAGGAATAGTCTATGAAATAGTTGCTGTAAACTGTGTTTTCAACTAAACCTTGTGTAAAAGGATGTCACAATTGTAATCTTGCCTGAAATACAGAATGTATGTAAACTGTTTGAAACTTACATTTGTAGATGTAAAACTATTCAAGCGACCTTTTTATAATAAATTCTTGGAAATTTAATTTTGGTAATCTTTAGTGCTAGAAGGGGTTTCTGTGTCTTCAGTAAATTTAGCATAGCAAATAACCCTGCTGCAACCATCTCGTTGGAGGCTGTATAAATGTGACTGGCGATAACATGTCGCATGTTATCAGCAGCAGTAGAAGTAAACCGTTCACTTTTATGATGTTACTGTATGGTGCAGGAGACAGAGAAAGCTACGCTTTTCCAGTGGGAATGGAGTTTATCAAAATTAATCGCACACGAGCACGAGCACACAAGCACGCACGCACGCACACACACACACATACACAGTCCTACCAAAACACCTTACCTGGAATCACATGTAGGAAGTACAGGAAGAAAGAAGTAAGTAATAAATTAATTTACGAGCAACAAATACGAATTTGTGATACTTGCTACTGGATGGAAAAAAATCAGTAAGAGCTCCATACCTATCAAATATATACGTGTGTGTTTATACTATCAATATGATAATCTGTTATCGTTCTAAGATATTGTCTAGCTTTATTTATTTAAAATATAAACATTTGCATCTTTATTTCATCTTTAATGAAGGGTTTTCATTGAACCGTCTATCAGATTCCTTACTGATTGTTTTTTTTCTTTGAGAATTATGACAGGAGTTCTGCACGCCGCGGTGGGAGGTAACGGAAGGTAAAGAAAAACTGAACGTAAGGGGCCACTAAAATCAGGTAGGAAGAAAATATTTCTTGTCTTTTTGCGATTGTTTTATCATTGTTATACTTTCAATGAATACACCATTAATCTGAAGATTTTGATCACTGAATGAGATTCAACCTTGCTGATCTGATAAGTGATAGCTTCTTCTAAATGTCCATAAAATAAGGCTTCTATTGTTAGTCTGATGGGTTCTAGCTAACTGGAAATGAGGCACTTTATTGTCCGCTTTTAAAATTAGTTGAAAGGCAAGGGCATGTTTTGATTGTATTAATGGCATCCCTCAAGAAAGTGTTAGATATTATTCCTGGACATCAAAAGACAAATGTCAATCCAAAGTAAACGACTAACTTCAGGTAAAGGAGTTGTGTCTATGTAATAACCGCACTTTGCAAAAGCGGATCCAGGATTTATTTGAAGGGGGGTCCGGAACGACAGGCCTCGGATGCAAAGCCGACCATCGCCTCCTTGTTGTGAGGTTCTAGGCCTGCTCAGGGCCCCGAAAATTTTGTTGGTGTTTTGGAGAGCAAACAGTACGGTTTAGAACTATGATTTAGCTAGTCAAAATCTTAATTTCAAGAGGGGAATTTTGGTGTGATAAATTTTTCAGAAACTGAAGGGGACTGAAGGGGACCCCCCTGACACCCCCTTTCCCCCCTCTAAATCCGCCACTGCTCTGTAAACGTTTATGTCTTCAGTTGGATTATGTTTCCTGAAATGGAGCCGGTTTTATTTATTGTATATATTAACGTTGTAATAAAACAAAGTGATTTTGTTGGACGCAGCGATTGTGATTTTTCAGTGGTAATAACCATAAATGGCAGTTTTACCCTTTGATGTTGTAAATAATAAAAAGGGTGGATGAGTCAACTAATTTGTTTGAGGATATATCTTTTCCATTTGACTGTCGCCATCAATGTTACCCGTGCACCAGAACAGTAGCTGTGTGGTGTTGAAACATTGTATGATGCTGATTATACACGATTATGACATATGTATTGCAAATGTCATCATATTTCAATATAATTTTTAGATGAATCTTTAACACTTTTTTCTTCAGTCGCCGAGGTATGCCATATCTAAAACCATTCATGTACAATCAGGGTCGATAAATTTGTTTTTGTCATTAGTTTTAAGTAACTTTGTCAGTGAAGATATTACAAAAACTTGTGAATATCACTCGTGGCGATAAAAATAATAATTTTATAACTCGAAAATAAGTTGATAGATCGTAATTTTTCTCAACGGTATTGGGGAACTGACTAAAGGTTATACCTTGCTGTTGAGGTATTTATTTATTTATTTATTTATTTATTTATTTATTTATTTATTTATTAAGTCTTAGCGCATTGTATGCCTTTAGAATAAAGAACTGTACTTGCACATGTTAACAATGGGCCCCGTCATCCGATCATTCAAACCGTCTCTTAATACAGTTGATCATTGTAATTTGAGCTAGCAGTGTATTGACTGTCCTCTGTAGACGAGTGGTTAATATACGATAGTAAATGTTCAAATAAACAATGTGATTGTGACCCTGATATAAGACTACTGTAAAGGGATATACTATATGCATTGAACATGTTAGAATTCAGCGAACAGAGCATTCAAGTTAAAGATGGAGTTTTCTAGTGCAGGCTTGATATATGACAATTTGAGTTGAATTATGGCCATGGGCGATTTTTATAAGCTACAGGTCCAGATCAGAAAAGTGTGGAATGTACCACTTCTACACTTAAATTGAGTGATTTGGAGAGATTCAAATGAATGTTTCACTAATACAATGTCTTGTAGAGTGTAATCACATAGTTTAAGTTAAAACTATTTTACTTTATTTTTAATGTTGACGCTAATTGGCGAGTATACATTGCGCCAGTGATTGGCGCGTAATTCTTTTCAATATTTTTCGTTTACTTCTTATACATGATGTCTACCTGTTTTCTACCAGGGCCGGAGTTTTCTTTATGTGCACTTTCCTCTGACGCGTGCAGTGCAGAAAAGTCCCATTGTTTAACCAGAGACATGTCTGTGAATTTCTAGTGAAAAATCAATCTATGGCTCTGATAGAGGGTTATGTCTACCTATTTTAAGGGACATCTGAAGGGTGTTTTAAAGCCTTGTCTTATTACTTTACAACACCGTAAGAATTGTTTTAAAGGCTGTTCTGGCTTTTGATAAGATTGTGTCTTGTTTGTTTTTAGAAAAATGAAGACTTCAAATTACATTTCATTTCATGGGCTAACATATATAAATAATTAAGTTTCAATTGCTAGTAAGGAATCTTTACTACGAAATATGTTGGCTGAAAAATAGCGATTTATAAATTTTGTTGTGGTGTTGTTTCTACATGAATCAAAGAATTTACTTCCTTGCTCCAGTGCACAATGGAATTGGAAGGTATGAAAGAAAGGCTCACATGATGGAGCGTTACCATTGTAGTAATTTTTACGTGTTGATCGTTAAACATGTTTTACATGTAGGACCCACAAGTATATACAGGGATATACTTGTATGACTTTTAGTCGTAACTGTGGTAATTTTAATATGGATTTGGAAAGGTAGAGGTGTTTTTTTTAATGTCTTAATCTCAAATATATTTTATTCAACACGCCTTAAGACAGTTTAATTTCTTAAAGAGCGTGAAATGTGTATTTTCTAACTGTGCGTTTTAGCTTTGTCTAGTTTCTCATACCTCTTTTAGACTATGCAAGCTCGTTTATGATGTTACAAATGTTTTAAATGACACTTGTCAAGCGGCGAGACTTTTGATAACCTATATATATTACTACTGCCACTACTTCTATTAACGAGTACTACTACTACGACGGCTACTACTGCTGCTCCTAGTACTGTAGTACTACTACATTTTGAAGTTTGGTAGTAAATGAAATTTGAGGAGGGCGGTGTCTAAGGGCCTTCAAATATGTCACATCTTCAGATGTGTCCTAGTTGTTTCTTAAGGTAATACCTATTTCTTTTGTGTGGGTGGCGATATCAATTACGTTTTCATAACTAGGCAATATTTGAATCAGTAGCAGTTTTGTTCAGAATGCGCTGAAATTCAGCCTTCCGCTGCCACGCTTTCATTTGTACAATGACTTCAGGTCCCGCGTTGAAAGCGACATTTAGAGCAGAACGACTCAGAACCAGTTTAGATCTGATTAACGTGCACTGGCATTTTGTTAACGATATCTGTTGAATACGGCCGCATTTTCTGCTGAATAGCACTGCAAAAAGGCAAGAAAATAGTTAAAAGCCCGCGTCACTCTACGGGTGTTTAAGAGGCGTGGTTTATGGATTCCACAAACGCGTATTTACCACTGAGGACTTGGTTATTGAGTGAGGCATTGAACTTCACACTTCCACGGTCGATAGCCATTTTCTAACTTTATAAAGATTAACATTTTAATCAAAAATCAATTAAACGCAAGTGATTGGGAAAAAACTCATATAAGATTGTCACAAGGTAATTCAATGAAATATACATGTGTATTAATTCAATGAAATATACATTTATATACTGTATCACTTCACCTTCGAAAAATAGGCACAATCATTCGGGCAGTACCCGAGCCTGTATACTGGCATCATGCTACGAAAGAGACGGCAGTTAAGTAATAAGTATTTAAGCCTATGATCCCCCGTGGCTCTCATTTTTCAAAAACGCCAGGATGTACCCTTCTGTGTAACAGGTAAAAGTCGGGATAATCTGAGCCGTGGGAGATTTGTGTGTTCTCTGTGTACTCAGTGTACTGACTCCCCACTCCATATTTTGTGTGATTAGCAGTTGATTAGTCAGTCCTTGAGTAGCGCCCCTCTGCTGCGTTTTCGACAAATCAATACAAACGTGGTAAAGTAGGCATGAGTGTTTAACAGGGTGGAGTGGGAATCGTTGAAAGGAGTTTGATGACGAACCACTGATACATCCACTGAAAATTTGTGCTTCTGTAGGGGAGTGCTTTTTGTCCAACTTTTTAATCATTGCATCATTTTGTCTTATTGTGATGTTTAGAGGCGTGGGGACCCGTAAAAGTTTATGTACATATTTGATCACGTTTTTGACATTTTTTTCTTTATTTTGCAGTGCTGCATCCATCATATTCATTCATTCGGAATACCGTAAACTAACGCGTATTCCTGATGAATTTGTGATTTTTGTGCGTCCTCGAAATTCGATACCTTTTAAAATTGAACGAAATGTTTTAGAAATTGTATATTTTGAGAAAAATCATTATTTTAAATTAGCCGACTGGCTTATTTTAATAAAATGTCACCGACTGTTTCTTTTGAGCTGTAAGATTATATCATCCGAGAAAATACCTAGACACGTCGGCTAAAACGGAGATTATACGTATGGACCTCCACTTATTCCTCACTTAAAAAAAAAGACCAACAGTACACTCAGGATGTGACATATGAATGATAAGCTTCTTTAGGGAAGATGTTTGATGTAATTTTATACGTAGTATAATACAAGATGGTGGAGTGGTAAATTCATATATCATTCTTTTGTCTGGCTTTGCACACAGAGATTGGTAGCAATATGTCACCATGTTTGTAGGATGATTACATAACTCGACAGAATGACCATTTTCGAAAGCCTTAGAGAAAATCAATTATAGCATATTCGGGGAACGCGTATACAAAGCCAATATTGAAAGTCACATAGCAATTATGTGTTGTGCACGGGATACTCTATCCTACAGGACCGTGCAGTAATCGTTTTGTAGGAGGTCTAATAATCTCTTCCGTTTAACTTGTCATCGGTCTGCGGTTTCGACTATTTACTAAATTGCTACGTAATACCACGCCCATTTTATGCTCGACATAGGTATCAGGTACATATACTTCCTGGATGTAAGAATATAGGAACAACTGATAGTTTACCTCACTGGGTTGGTTATCCTTGTTTAAAGAAAATAAGCTGAAAGGCACACGTATATGACTGCACGATATTCCACCAACCCTTAAATAAATGTAATAGCTGAATGAATGAAAAATATCCGTTCGTTCAATTTTCGACAAAATGTCGGAAATGGTTGGTCCGCTTCCATATGTCTGTTGAATGGTGGTTGTTAGGGCATATAGATTCGGCCAAACTTAGCCTTTATTTCCCTCTGCACTTGGATGTTTCCACGTGTCAATTTGGCTTTCTTTTCAACCTCTTTCGATCAACCATCCTGTTCACCGCCGTGAAAATGCCTGCGTTGTTGTCCGACTCGAAAAACATCAGATATATCTGTTTTTCAAAAGAAAGGCATGTGCTTCGGGATGGTGTCTGTCTACGCTTAAGAGAAAACAAAAGATGAAATACCGCAAGGTGTGACTGAAACAGAATAATGAGGGTGTAAGTGGCATCTCTGTAATGTTTGTTTTGTGGAAGCACATCTTAATTTATGAATAACAAAACTGAATATAGAATCCTTGTCCTGAATTTTACATTTCCTTTTCATGACCAGTTTAGTTGATAATGCATAGGTAAGCATATTAATGTCACTGGAAAGTTCACATCGGGAGACATATGTGATTTATAATGTCAGAGGTAGGGTGTTGATGGCAAATTATAAGGTAGGGAGCGTAGTAATGATACTGCTGTCAACTTTGATATGCCCCTGTGGCTTCAGAGAAAAAGTAAATAAAAGGAGTCGAAGTAATACAATCTAATACATTTTTCTGATAAGAACCCCTATTCATTTAGAGACCAGAACTTTTTAAGGGGTGTGTCTGCTGTGCGAGGACACACATTTACCACCCACCAGTTCCACGGATTTAAAAAAAATAAGAAATTGAATATAACTCATTAACATGTATTTTTTAAAGATTATTTTTGCATCGTAAAAAATGAATGTCATAAAATTCGCCCTGGTCATTTCTGTATATGAAAATCCAGTGCATCCATTATACGTAATTACAATTAAAGGAAGGATCATAATTTCCCAGTCCAAGGAACGACCATTTTCTTGTGTCATGCACATGAAGCTTCCCGGTGCAAATACACGTATAGTTGGTTTAGTTAAAGAAATATCTATCTTTTATCTATTATCTATTTGTACGTTTATGTTGTCAGGGGCGGATCCAGAGATATTTTCTGACAGTCTTCCATATTATATTTGTTGATCCATTCTCCATTTTTTGACCGTCTTCCGACAGAAAAAATTAGATAGGCCTACCCGTCAATGCAAACTTGAAAATCTGACCGTCTTCCGGAAGACCCAGAAGACGGCCTAAATCCGCCCCTGGGCAATAAATGTCGTATTGATGTATCTGACAGGGTACATGGATATACTAGTAGAGTCAGTGGTATAAGGAGATATTGATAACACACATAATCATGGATATAAAAAAAAAAGAGTGTTGGCTCTCAGGTTTTACATTTGTAGGCAAATTCAAAAAGCAATCAAGCCCTTTATGCACCGCATTGTGGTGAGCGATATGTTTGACCTTAGACCCTAGCTTTGACAGTGTAAACTTTCTAAGCATGGAACCATACATGCTATATACAAACATGCACCCTGTATCTTTACCGTGCGAGTGTCCACAATGAACCGGTCCTCAAATGGAAGCTCTCCTAACAATACTGAAGGGCATTAGGTGTGGTTATTACCATGTAAGCACGCCATTGACGTAAGTGCACTGTCCTTGCCATGTCACATCACACCTAAGGACGTCTTTCAAGATGTAATCACCTTGACTAATTATTTTCATGCGTGTGCATCTCCACTTACCTTGACAGTTCACGCCTCCCGTGTGTCTTCCCCCCCCCCCCCCCCACCCCCCACCCCACCCCCCGGCAAACATTCTAATAAGTCGGAACGTGCTATAATTCACTCCGTTCGCCATCACTGATCTTTGGTCAGTCAGCAGTTCTACAAAGTGACGCAATATGATAATAAATATTGTTATATAGTTATAGATTCTCAGTCGACGGGGGTAGGCGATAAAACTCATCGAAATTACTCCTTTTCATAAAAGAAGATTATGTTGCTTTTAGTTGTCTGGTCCATAAAATAAATTATAGAATTCTCAAGCAATGTAGATCAAAATGTTGCAAGCGTAACTTACGACACTGGTTACATTTTGGGCAAAACTTTAAAATCCTAAATAACTAGTGGCTATGAAAGACCGAGCAAAACAGAAAGAAAAAGCATTGCACGTGACAGACAACAGTAGAGAGACGAGTGTCCGCTGCGGTGCACGGAGAACAGTGGAGACAACCAACATTAAAATATACGGCAGGGCTTGATCATTGGATAAGTACAGAAAAACCACCATGTAAACACTAGCAGGTGGTTTTTACAACTACATCAGAAACATCCCTTGTATTGCAACATTTTGATTTACGATAAGAACTTTTATTTTTCATCCAATTACATGATTTATTCCCATCGCGTTATGCAACTGAAGTGGCGCGATTTTGAAAAGAAAGGTGTTCCGTCTAAATCTGATGGACAGTTAATTTGACCATTACGTTTGCATGTGAATGTGAAAACAGTTTTACTCCAGGCCATGCTAAATATACTATTCACGATTTGAATTGGATTTTATAATGTCTCTTTCAAGATTGGCATTTGTTCTAAGTGTCACATAGGTAAACAGTCCCTCTGGTTTAAAAGACCAGGGCCACATGTATATGATCGCTGGCTTCGGGTTTTGAAACTACCAGTGTATGTCCAACGATTTAAAGGGTATCTATTAAGGATGCATCCTTCACATTATGGTTGTAAACTTGCATTTTATAACTTAAAATCATTGATTGCATTTATAAGGGCGTGGTGATCATTTCTCCTCCAACGGCGGATTATTGAATTTTGCGTCGCGTCCTTACATTACATAACGCCTCTTTTGGTTATTGTAACTTTCGTAGTGCCATGAAATTTAACCCTGGGCAAGAGGCTCTTTTCATTTGCTTTTTCATTCAATAAACATTCTTTTCCAATCGAACATGTTTAGCATTATTCACCCTGTGGTCTGAAAACTATAAATTAAGGGGTTCAATGTTTTTACCACTGTATATTAATGGCGAGTTACTTGATCTCGCGGGGACGCAGAGCACACTGTTAGGTGGACGGTAATAACGCCCATTCAAACGGAGGCACTCAGGTACTAAATTTGCATTCCTCTTTTGTTGTTAGCGCCATTCAGCGTCGTCGACCTAGACTTGAGCGAGGTACCCACACCCGCGCGCACACTTAGTCTGCTGGTACTTTTACCAGTGTCGTGGTTGGCAGCGGACGAGAAGTACCTGTTAGAAGCCAGGGTGGTTTGGCAACACCATAGAAGTTGTCGAGACTCTCTGTGACAAAGTTAGAAGAGCAGAGTTGGGGTGAGTGTTATGGGGATTTTACCTTGCGGCCACGCCTAGTTCGATCTCTATTGAACCTAGTCTAGCACAAGCTTAACATGACCGGCTGCTGTGTATAAGGGGTTACACTTGGTCATATTTAAATGTATGACAATTTTAAAAAGAAAGATACAGTTATCAAAAACTGAGTTTCATAGCTGCATCAACTGTATATGTTTTATGTGTTACTAGTATTTTTATCGGGTAATATTTTATGACCTTTACGATCGGTACTTCTATGAAAGGCAGGTGGGTCACTTCTGCGAAACTGAAGTTTGTGTTAAAACTTGGCAGAAACTATCACATTGAACAAAATAACCCGACAGATTGGCAGCGGTGTTGACTTGAGCCAGAGCGAATTAATATTACACTAACAAAAACAGAGTACAGGCGGTAGATGGGTAATAAGTCCGAAATATAATCGCTGAAAGAGTTCCCTTTGACTTACAATAGCACATAGACAAGTCGAGGATTAAAATATTGTTAGTATGACCATACATAAATAAACCTTAGGCGATTTGAAATCTATTATATCGCTGGACGATCGAGCCTGAGGTGTATAGACAATAAGGGAGGGGTTGCTTAATAACTTAGGTAAGAGACTTGTACAGGAAGCCGGCACGCCCGACCGCCATTACAATAGCCAAAGGAATGTAAGCGACTTAAAGAAGATCAGTCCACCTCCCATAGCGTAGGTGGTGTTGCAGTAGCATTCCCTGGTCTAAACCACCTAGCGCCGGACAATAGGCGCCTGCGTTACCAGTTCGTCGTCACAGAACATCTTTTCGCTTGATTGGTTAACTCTCTTAAGACTGGTGAGGGCGGTGCCCCTCTCCCCATTACGCATGCTTTACCCGCAGTGCAACTTTATAGAGTGCTATTATGGTTCGCTCTGATGAAGTGATACAGACTGTAAGTTATTATGAATCTAGCCATTTGATTAATTTTTTGGAATTTATGGTACATAATGCTCATGTAGAAAAGATAACTTTAGAGGTATTTTTTAGGTTTCCAGAAACTTCTAAGAAATACAAGTATGAAAGTCTATAGGTATAGGGTCATTTCAGATAAAACGTAGCCTTATGTGAATAACAGTATTTGTCTAACAGTCTACTGTACGCAATTAATTGATAAAAGTTACCATCAATGTACTAAAAGATTACAAACCAATCATTGCCTGTGAGGAAGTAATGGTGACTTTCTAAAAGTGAATAAGCAAACAGTACATAATATCGATGAGTAATATCCCGCATCATAAATAGTGTATAAAACAGCAAATCAAACTTCGAAAGCGGGTCTAGGGGTGAAATGCAGTTAAAATTCGGACAGAGAGAGGACGCTTAAATCTTTACCCACTGATAGTTAGTAGTAGTTCTTTTGAGTTCAAGGTAAGAAAGGGGGCTGGTGCAGAGAACCTTTGTTTATCTACCTGACGCGAGTAAATTTGTGCATTGTGAATTTATAGGTAGGCCTTAAGAAAAACTAGTCCATGTGCCATGTGATTTGTAACATAACACCACGCTGAAAGTGGGACAGTGCGCATGTGACTCCCGCGCATGGGCGTGGATCATAATCCGGGTCGGCCCAACACCGCATGCAAAAGTGTGATAACCGGTTGGCCGGATGGTGTTATGGCTGAAGCAGACTAGGGATTTCATTGCTTTCTTTTTGGTGACCTTATCGATAAGATAGAGAGTTTAGTCCCCAGTTTGATTTTTGCTGCACCTAGTGGCATTTGAAATCATAGATTAAGTCAGGAAGAAGTTTCAAACATCAATGAACCTAAGTGACACGAAAAGCATTTGAGGTATGCATAGGATTGAATAAAAATTTTGTGAATGGTTTACAAAAATCAAACTACATTATGGATACACATTTGTAATGTGATAATCTAAATTTTACATTGTAATCCTAAGCGTTAATCAGAGGAATGCCCATTTGCAGGGCAAAAATGTCGTAAGGATAAGATCATTTCCTTGTTTGCACAGGGAAACTTGTCTGTCAGTAATATCCTTTGCTTTAAGCCAGCTGTTTGTACTGGTATCAATTACTCGAGGAAGGCAGAACTACCTCGTTTTTTCATCAGATAAAGTATATTAAGTAATTGGTCGACGCCCCTTTGTAATATCTTCGTTATTTCAGTGCACCATTAAAATGTATAAGCCACATTTTTTTTATAAATACAGCACTCGCCTCTCTCTCATAGGTCACATTATCTCTAAGAAATCCAAAGTTCAATTACACATCGTCAATAGAAATTGATTTTACGGCCAGAGCGTATACATTGTTGCTCTGTTGAGTTTTGGAAGTTATACGGTACTATGATGTCGTAATTGGGGTTCAGTGTGACATAACCGTATACATAGATATGTTTTGATTCGACGCCCAATGTGCTAATTATAATCAATACTACACTTTGAATAAAGAGACTGATTTTATACAAAAATATTTGGATGCATAGGGTGCAAAGCTTGATTGCCCCGTACCAAATGACCTGTGTAGAGGTTCTCCATCCTTGTGTCCGTTGTGTTTGAAGTTATGTCATTTGTGCTGTACTGTATGTTGGTATCGGGTGTGCCTTACGTTGCGGTGACCACAATTGTTTGGGAGATAGTCTTTCACCCAAATAAAGGTTAAAAGTAATAGCAACGCGTATTAAGCCACATTGTTATGAAATATGTATTCAAAATTGCAGGGACTGATTTTGGACGATTTTGGTACCCATCACGGACACTCCTGTAACTGTGTCTATACGTAGAGAAATATCTACAAATGCCGTCCATTAAATAAGATAAAAAACATACTTTTCAATCATTTGCATTACAAGCAATTTTTTCAAATCTGTTTCTGTTATAAGGGTCTGTCTTTGGGATTTAAAACGTCTAATTTGCTAATAGACCATTTAAGCTTCTTAAGGCATTTCTCCGTTTCAAAACCTAACGCACTTCAAGTAGTCGTTTTAGTTGATGAAAGAAAATGAAAAGTTCTGAATAAGTCAAATGGCACATGATATACTTTCAGCATTACTTGTAAAGCATACTTGTATTTTGTAGGATACTCGTATATTGTAGTAGTCCTTTCCAGTTATGCGTTGTCCGAACTTTGTTATATAAGATACGTAACATCTATGTTGCATGTAAAATGCACATATTCATTTGTTATACGGACGTGCAGCATATTGAGCACACATGTAACACATAAGTAAGGTCGAATATGCCTATACAATGAGTATTAATAAACGACCCGCTTATAGGTAATTCGGTACTCGGGTCGACTAAATTAACCATAAACGTGCTGCATACCTTACCTCGAAAGATTTCCATTCAAACTGGTGTTGTCCTTATTGCAAACAATAGCAGAGCTTTGGGGCCGTCGGACAGTATCTCGCTATATGTGCGTACCTCACTGACCTCAATGAATATTGAAATATTTCTGTTAATTGAGTTGGCGAGAAATTGAGAGTAATACTCTGCATTGCTTAATTAATGACATTTCATTTGACCCGCCTTCTCCATTCAACATTTGACCCTCCTTTGATCAACCTGCCAGTTAAGGTCTAGTTTTGTTTAGATGCTAATGACAAGCACGCAGGTTATATTCTTATTACACGACCTGTTTCCAACATAAGTTATATCTGTATAAGGTATTAAAGTTTGTCTTCGATCAAGTGTTTTACACCCTATGGTGATAGCCTAGAATCAGTGGTAGTGAATATAATCTGTATAAATACATTTCGAAAAACGTTAAGAAATTAAGGCTTGCCAAATTCCAATTTTTTTATTTCATGTATAGTTAATAAGAAAAGTATACCCTTGTCTGAAAAACGGATTCATTTAAATAATGAGTGAACATTCAATATTTTCGTGTCTATTTCATACCACACAGGTATTAGTAAGTGACCTAATATTCTTTTTTAATGAGATAGAGGAACGATGCAGATATTGTACAATATTTAAAGAAAAACGAAGCGCTTGTGCTATATTTATACTCGTTTGCACTTGACAATTGACATACAATGGAATAAAAGAATTAAATGTTGTGCGAATATGGGTCTTGCGGGAAATAAATAAATGTCAAAATCGATCTTAATCCGCTTTGAGAATTTTCCCTCTGTCTTTAACGATAAGCCAATATACTACAATGCTGGATAGTTTTACAAAATGCTATAGGTAAGCGAACCAAGTGTGCACGTTGTGATACAATAGAACTGCTTTCTTTATTTGCTCTTTGTTGCTCTCCCCCACATCTCTGCACATGCGCAGATCGTCGAGGAAATATAGGCGTGGTCGTTCCCAAACAACTACCTCTCAATATTTCAGTGAGGCTTGGCAGAGTTTCCAAATTGTTTGAAAGATCGCTGCTAATAAAATATACTTGTTTTGACAGGTTCCTTTTTTATCATTCTTCTTACCCATTTAACCAAATATCCATTTGCTGACAGAATGCAAAATAAATAGAATTCAGAGAGATAGGACTTTCTGTGATAGCTTGGCCAACTTGACTCATCGGTCAATGAATGACTGGCCCCACCGTACGAGTTGAACAGTTGCTAGGTGGACTGTTATTATAGCAATATTCGTCATTTTACAATTCGTGACAAAAAATTATGACTCACCTCACTGAATGTGGGTTGAAAGACGCCCTTGAGATTAAGCACAAGTCTATGGAATGCTTTTGGGGGGGGGGGGTGTAAAGCCAAAAGCAAACGCTGCTATTTACTAGAAACTTGGCACTTATATCAAAATGTTCAAACTCTTTGTGAGACTTGTTTTCATTGTTCATTCTTTCTTAATCGAAATTTAAATCAAATTTTCAATTTGCAGTTTGGAGAGAGTTATTCGAAAAATAAACTAACAAACAGAAAAGACGTGTTGTGTTAGCCAGGGTTTATACCAACGACTGGACAGTGAGTGACTGGCCAATCTATGCGGGATGTTTAGTTGCTGGGTGGGTTGTGATTTTCACAATATTAGTCAGCTTCATTATTCTTTGCAAAATTTATTTTGACTCACGAGAGCACTTTGCATTGAATGAGGGTTGAAGCACACCTAAAACAGCGTGTTGTAAAATTTTGGAGAGAGAGAGAGAGAGAGAGAGAGAGAGAGAGAAAGAGATGACAAAACATACCACTTACTGGCCAAAATACTCAAAGCTTAACATTGATTTATACATTTACGCTTTCAACACGCTATTTTTTCTACAGGACAGCTGCATGTACATGCATTTCTATTTAATTTTGCTTTATATAGGTGCAAAATTTGAGAGGGGTTGTTTATTTTTCATTCAACAAATGATGCACCATGTCTTTTACAGACATGTCGCTACAAGCTATTTGATCGGAAAATGTTAGTCTAAGGAGTACTTTACTTTACTACTTATTTAAACCATCATTAACGCTAGGTTTATATACATCGTAGCGCAAACGAACATGCACTATCATAAGCAATTAAACAATAAATTAGATATCTGCTATACTTAATTATCATGCCTATCAAAGCTGCACAATACACCAACGTGCGTTCTTCTCACGCGACCATTTCACATTGATACTACTCATCAAGAGGTTTGTATACTTGCACATAGCCCACAGGGGTGTGGTCAGAAGTAGCAGTAGCACGGTAGGTTGTTATTGCTTAAATGCTTACGATAGTAAATCGTAGACAAAAACGAAGAGCAAGTAAAATGGACAAAGTTAAGCGAACAAACTGAATACTTTTGGAAGCCTTTGCAATTAATGAATGAATTCAAAAGGTTGAAGATTGTAATAAGATTTTTTTCAACTAGCGCATTCCAGATTTAAGCAATCATTTTCTGGGCAAGATATTATTCTTGGTTGTTTGCTAGAACCACCTAAATGAATTACACCACATTCAAAATATGAAAAAAGACATTTGTTGATTATTCGTTTGGTTAAGCGTATCTTGTATTTTTATGGCGATGCGACATCAGTCCAAGTTACTCCTGACAAATGCCCGAGATATGGTAACAGGATTATGCTGATGGAGGAAAATATATGTATTATAAAATTAGTTATATCAAATTGTGTCTCTCCTTTTTTTTCAAAATTTGCAGTTAAGTGAATTTTTAAAAAAATTCCTAGTCAACTAAAGACAAAATCTTAGCTAAGAGGCCCGCCTTAGATATTTCGTTTCAGCATTTTCTTCTAGTCAGTCGTTTGAAATAAAAATTATAAAATACAATGATAAAATGGTGTATCATTTTATCATTTTTTAGTCTTCACAAATTCCTAGTGGACACACAAGATTCAAAATGATTTTTAACTATCTCCGATGAAAAAGGCTGGAATTTGTTTCACAGATGACTTGGGAGTGGTTAAATGCTGCTGGAACACCATGGATAATGTCCCCTTTATGTACTTGGCTATTTAAAGGGATAATAACTCTTCGTTTCGGCCAAAAAATGGATTTTCCTGGAGTAAACAACAATTTTCTCATACTTACTAATGGTCAATGAATCCATTTTTACATTCAAAGTAAGTCCCTGTTTTTTTCTAAAAAATTTGTTTTTTTGTTAAAATCTCTTAAGAGATTTTAACAGAGAATAGCCATCAATGTAGGTCACGTGGTCTAAAGACAATCTCAGATATCAGAATAATATATAGCTATAACTGCCGTTTTTGTGGTAAAACAGAATTTATTATATTTCTATGAGTTATCCACAATGTTTTTATTGTGAATTATAGATCTCATACGAAGAGTTATTATCCCTTTAAGTGCGCTAATGTAGGAGTGGTGTTAATTTGTCTTTCTTTGAAAAAAAACATATATCATTGGACATATGCTGTGGTTTCATTATCATGCACTTTGTGAGCAACTGAAATCTATATAGTAATCGGTAAATCGGAAGATTGTGAAGTTAGCAGAAAAGTGTGCAAACAACCTTCGAAAATGGATGAAGTTACATGTAAATCATTTAGTGCTGAAAGCGTATTTCAATAAGGTATTTTTTGTTAGAACTTTAAAATTTGATGAGGGGTGTAGGGTGTAGAGCCGCATACATAGCAAAACATGACGTAGCAGTTTGGGAGTTAAAAATTGATATCACTTGTCATGTCAAGTTTATTGTGTCGACTGATAACCACGGTTAATAAAGTGCTTTAAAACTAGTCTGAAAATATCTCTTCATCTCGAAAGATGGCAAGTAAAATGTAATTTAATTGACAAATTTATCCTAGGGAAACATTTATGCATATTTTAAGTTCATGTCCGTCTCATATGAAACTTTAAAAGAAATCAATATCAAAGGTTGATGTTCAATAAAACTGAACTGGCAACGGATAGCTTTTAAGTAAGCAACACTAGTTTTTAAATCGTTAAATGGACTTTCACCAAAATACATAAGGTATTACAAACAGAGGCACTTCAGGCAGAATTACCCATCACCGATCAAGTACTAAATTTTACCAATCGGCAGACATAAAGACATAAAGATATATTAACTGTTGGTCCAATATGGACTTCAGTTGAAATATGGAACTGCCTTAACTCTGAAATTTAAAAAAACTCCAAAGACTTGGATACTTTTTAAAAATCGTTTTTAAAATATCAAAAGTCAATTTTTATGTATAAACTTATTAATTTATGTAGCTTTAAGATTTTTACTAACATATTGTCTTTTTACTTCATTCTTATTACTATTATTACTTTTAAGTTGATTCAGTTTTACTTTATTGTTATTTAATTTAATTCAATGTATTATTTATCTTTTATTCATTAACACACTATTTCATTCTAACCCCTCAGAGGGCCATGTGTAAGATAAGTGTATACACTTACCATGTTTTACCCTCTTTAAATAAAAATTATTATTATTATTATTATTATTATTATTATTATTATTATAAGCACAATCTGATTGTTAATTATGATTGTGCCTTAATGATTTCAGTAAGCCAGACATAAAATATCCACATATGTATTTATATTAAATGTTCCTTTTTTTACATTTCAGGCCATGAAGTTACTACTACTTGCAGCAGTGCTGTTGGCAGTGGCGGCCCACGCTAGCCAGGCCAGCATCATAAGCGGCAACGAAGATATTCTAATCTATAATGATAAACTGTTAAATCAAGACATCGAGGGTAAGTTATTTTTACACATGTATACAGATAGTATTGTTCTACAGAATCAGTTTATTGTATTGGAGCTTGTTTTGAAGCAGGCCAGGCGTTACATAACATCTTTTTGCTGTGCATAAATGACATGTTTAGCTGATATATGTGCATATTTGTTTTGAACAAGTCGATTTTATTATTCCAGAAATGAAGGAGCATATCCGAAGGAAGAGACAGACAACAACGAGTAGGAAAATACTGCTTTGAACGTCCTCCAACTGCCCCTACACTCTCTCTCTCTCTCTCTCTCTCTCTCTCTCTCTCTCTCTCTCTCTCTCTCTCCATACAAACACACACACACACACACACACACACACACACATGCACATACATAAACACATACAGGGAAAAGGGGATATTTTATCCAGCCTTTCATCAATCATTTGTCATTCCATTTAATCATTTATCTATACAATAATTCGTTATAAGTTTGTAGACATATTTTCATTGCCATTTTCAGTGCTCTTTCTGCATTGTAAATATTTTTTTTCAGTCCAAAGACAAAATTCTGGTGGACGCCGCTTCCTGCTAATGTTCATGGAAAATCGAGTGGAATCAAATACGAATCCGCCTCAAGACATTTTCCTCACACCCGCTAGAGATGCTACCAGTTTAGTTTCCGTCAATATCACAAACATTTTCGACACTTCATACAACCAAGTTATAACTTTAGTTCGTAATCAAGTTGTCTCGATAACTGTTGGGGCAAACGTTCGCATGATGAGCGGGAATATTATAGAAAACAAGGCAATTCTAATCGAGTCTACAGAAGACATCGTTGTTTACGGTGTAAACAGAGAAGCTTTTTCAGTCGACGGTTTCTTAGTCTATCCGATCGAAGCCATTGGATCGTCGTATTATACCGTAAGCTACACCCCAGCCACTACCAGGACAGAAATCGGCATTGCTTCTGTGTACGACAATACCCCTGTTCGCGTCACTCTACCGAACCGGGCTCTGTCTGTACAATGGGCAGGAACAACTTATGGCGCAAATGGAGTCATTGAATTCACTCTGAACAGTATGCAGACCGCTCTCATTCAGTCAGATACAGACGGCGATCTCACAGGAACCAGAGTTGAAGTTACCGTTGCTTTAGTGAACGGCCAAATGCCTAAGCTCGCAGTATTTAGTGGGAATGTCCGCACAGCCGTGAAGCCCGTGACCAACAACCCTTCACGAGATCATCTGGTGGAGATGATACCGCCCATATCCTCGCTCGGAAGACGTTGGTGCTACGTGCCTATACCAAACAGAACAACTGGAGATGTCGTTCGTATAGTTGCAAGCGAGTCTGGTGTTACAGAGCTAACCGTTGTTGATGACACGGGTTCTAGGTTTTATTCCATAGTTGGAGCCGGAAGTTACACTGAGCTAAATATTTTTAAGTACTCCTATCTGTACACAAATAAGCCCGCCCTTGTAGCCCAGTTTGTAATCAGTCAACTAACAAGTCAATCGCCTGAAGAAGCCGATCCTTCGATGATCATAGTTCCACCAATTGAGCAGTATGACAATGACTATCATTTTGCAACCCCAACTGGTGTAGCAAGTGCCTACACTAATTATTTCTTACTGGTCATCCAGAATGCATCCAGAAGCGGAGTCTTGCTTGATGGTCAACCTGTTGCTAATGTTCAGTGGACCGACATCCCTGGCACCATATATGTAGGAGGATATTTCACTGTTTCTGATGGAGCCCACAATATTAGCCACCCTGTTGCTGGTATTGACTTCATGGGTATCCTTTACGGCGCAGGTGATCGTGAGAGTTATGGTTTACCTATTGGAATGAGACTTGAAGAGATAAATGTTATTGTAAGTACTTATAACCTTTTCAAGTAAACGTGAACATAGGTTTTATAATTATTTTCACAAGCAATTCTATCTTAAAGAAAGATACATATTCAAAACTATTTAAGTAAAAATTTGAATCAAGCGTTATATATTTTCTGCTTGGATGAAAGGATGCCCATTTTTTTCTAATAGATGTTCCTTGTTTAATCATACAACCGCTTTAATTGTCTGAATTATTAATCATTTGATTTTCGACTTTCCTTTTTTAGCCTACAAGCCCCCCAGGTAAGTGAACTAAGAACACAACAAACTGTAACATTACTTAAATTGTGTTAATAACCAGATAATATTGTTATATCTAAAACTGATTGACTTTTTATAATATTTTAATGTTATTGGTTGTTAAAGAAAGACCAAGGCAATATTTATTTTGAAAACTTCCAGGTCCTCCAGGGCCAACAGGGCCAACTGGACCTGCCGGCCCAAAGGGTTCTCCAGGGGTAACTGGTCCTACTGGTCCAGTTGGGCCCACTGGTGCCATAGGCCCAAAAGGAGATGTTGGTCCTCAAGGTCCACAAGGCATCACGGGCAACACCGGTCCCCTGGGGCCCACAGGACCAAATGGCCCCATGGGTCCACAGGGTGATCCTGGATTCAATGGAGCTAAAGGTGACCAAGGTGCACAGGGTCCAACAGGTCTACAGGGTGTAGCTGGCCCTCAAGGGGATACGGGTCCAACAGGACCACAAGGTATCCAAGGGGTCCAAGGACCAACTGGTGCTGCTGGACAAAAGGGAGAGGTGGGTGCACAGGGACCAACTGGCTCTGAAGGACCACAAGGTGTACAAGGTCAGTCAGGTATCACAGGAGCGACAGGACCTCAGGGGTTACCAGGTGCCCCAGGCTCATCAGGACCAACAGGGCCCCAGGGTTCTACTGGGGCTGTTGGAGCCACGGGCGCTATTGGTCCAACAGGACCTGCGGGTGCTAAGGGCGAACAAGGAAATATAGGTCAAAAGGGAGCCCTTGGTAGCACAGGTCCAACAGGTCCAGTGGGAGCTACAGGGATCCAGGGAAATGTAGGTCCAAGTGGGCCTACTGGCGCACAAGGTGTAATTGGTCCACCTGGTCCAACCGGCAGTAGAGGAGAAACAGGTACCACAGGTCTTCAAGGCCCAATAGGTCCACAAGGTCCCACAGGATCCAAAGGTGACCAAGGAGTAACAGGCGCTGTTGGAGCAACAGGAGCTACAGGACAAAAGGGAGAACAAGGAAATGTTGGTCCATCAGGGCCACAGGGTCCAACTGGTCAAGCTGGTGCTGTAGGGCAAACAGGAGTAAAAGGTAATGTTGGCGCAACAGGTGCAGTGGGACCAAATGGAGCAACTGGACAAAAGGGCAGTCAAGGTAACACTGGACCACAAGGTAATGTTGGCGCAACTGGATCTCAGGGCGCATCAGGGCCGACGGGAGCGACTGGCCCTACAGGTGCCCAAGGAGCAGTTGGCCCCACTGGAGCAACTGGTGTAGCAGGTGCAACAGGAACCAAAGGATCAAAAGGAGAAGTGGGAGCAACTGGCACACAGGGCGTGGCGGGACTAACTGGTCAGAAAGGTGAAATTGGTAATAAAGGTGATAAAGGGAATGTTGGCGCCATTGGCCCAACTGGTCCACAAGGTGCCATTGGTGTGTCAGGCGTCCAAGGACCAACTGGCAGTAAGGGCGATATAGGAGCTAGTGGACCGACTGGAGCAATAGGCCAAAAGGGAGCATTGGGTGAGAAAGGGAATGTTGGTCAGAAAGGCGACCAGGGAGCCATTGGTCCCACTGGAGCTACAGGAAACACTGGTCCACAGGGTACACAAGGTGTGAGCGGTCCAACTGGTGCAACAGGAAGCAAAGGTGAAGTAGGGGCAAAAGGAGTACAGGGTAATTCTGGGGCAAATGGACCAACTGGAGCCACCGGTGCAGTAGGAGCCACAGGGCAAAAAGGACAACAGGGAGTGTCTGGAGCTGTTGGGCCCGACGGGTGCTACTGGAGCTACTGGACTTAAAGGAAATGTAGGAGCTACGGGAGCCCAAGGTTTCACAGGCGCAGTAGGCCCTACTGGTGCAACGGGAGCAAAGGGAGCCATAGGAGACCAGGGCCCAGTGGGAGCGACTGGTGCCGTTGGGCCTCAGGGCAATACTGGACCTGTTGGAGCTAAGGGACAAAAAGGTACTGTGGGACAGAAAGGAGAGCAGGGCATCCAAGGTGTGTCTGGTGTCTCAGGTCAACAAGGGGCAGTTGGTGCAACGGGAGCACAAGGAAGCTCTGGCCCGACTGGAGCCACTGGGATAACGGGTGCAAAGGGAAACGTTGGTGCTGTGGGACCAACTGGGGCTCAAGGGCTTGCTGGTGCAAGCGGACCTACCGGAGCAAAGGGAAATGTGGGTGCAACGGGTGCAGTGGGTGCAACGGGAGTAGCAGGAGCATCTGGACCGACTGGGGCGACTGGTCAAAAAGGTGATCAAGGCAACGTAGGTCCAACTGGTGCAACTGGAGCCCAAGGAGCCACTGGTCAGAAAGGTGCTCAGGGTAACCAGGGGGTTTCCGGTGCACAAGGTCCACAAGGTAATGTCTGATGTTATATGGAACATTTGCTGTCAGTGCAGCCTTCTTTTTCCACTTTTTAGTGATATTTTTATTTGTACCAATTTGAAATACAAGTGTAAAAAGTACATACAGATATCCATGTTAAGGAAATGGGAATAAAAAGCTGTATATAGCACTTTTTTAACATATGTATAAAAAGTTCGTATATTCGTTTCGTTTACAAGCAATAGACAATTTGCACATTTTATTCATTGAATTGGCAGGTGTTACTGGTGCGACTGGTCCACAGGGTGCCCAAGGTCTCACGGGAGCAATAGGTCCACAAGGATCAACAGGTCCTCAAGGACCAACAGGTGTAACTGGATTACAGGGTGCGTCTGGAGTGACTGGAGCAACTGGGCCAACTGGACAAAAAGGCACAAAAGGAGCCCAAGGTGTATCAGGTGTAGCAGGTCCAACCGGCGCAACTGGACAAAAGGGCTCTGTAGGTGCTGTAGGTCCAACAGGGGCACAAGGAATCCAAGGGGTCAGCGGTGCTAATGGACCGACAGGAGCTACAGGTACGGAATTCTTCGTATATATGCAGAGCAGTTAAATTGGTTATGAGAGAGAGGGGGAGGAGAATCAGGGTACATAATAAGCAGTGCTTTTTATGAACACGATTTCCGTGACATTGATTATAGAGAGAACAGGACTTGTAGTTAAACACTTTACTCCATTAATTCAAACATTTTAATTTTACAGGCCCAACAGGTCAGAAGGGTGAACAAGGAATACAAGGAAACTCTGGTGCTGTAGGACCAACTGGTAGCACAGGTCCACAGGGTAACGTTGGTCCAACTGGAGCTACCGGTGCAACTGGCGCTCAGGGTCAATCAGGTTTACAGGGTCCTACTGGTAACACAGGGGCTACTGGGCCAACAGGAGCCATTGGTGCCACAGGGAGCAAAGGGCAAAAAGGAGTGCAAGGAGCATCTGGAATAGCTGGACCTACGGGTGCAGTTGGCTCTAAAGGACAGAAGGGAGATGTCGGGGCTGTTGGAGCTAAAGGAGCACAGGGTATACAAGGTGTAAGTGGCAATATTGGTCCCACAGGGGCAACTGGTCCTCAAGGACAGAAAGGTGAAGTTGGAAACCAGGGAGCATCGGGTGCAGTTGGAGCAAAAGGTCAGAAAGGAGCGTTGGGAGCGACCGGAGCTGTTGGTGCCACTGGAGCTACTGGTCCACAGGGCCAGACAGGAGATAAAGGAGCCCAGGGAGTTTCTGGAGTTCGAGGTTTAACTGGTCCTACCGGCGCCACTGGTGCAACTGGTGTCCAAGGCCAATCCGGAGCAGCTGGGCCCACAGGAAGCACAGGAGCTACGGGACCAGTTGGAGCTACTGGCCCCAAAGGTAACTTGACTCAAATATTTTTCAGTGTCTCTAAACTTTGATTCTGGATACTGCTTAAAATATTTTAATGTGTGAGGAAACCTACGGATACAAAAAAATAGGGTGTAACTTAACTGGAGGTGCAACTTAACTTCTTTTAGGTGAAATCAACTGCATTGTGTTCATTAATTAATAACAGTTAGCCTTTAACACACACACATACACACACATTTTTGTTTAATTCTATTAAAACGTGTTTGTTTGTTTAGGTGAAGTTGGGCAGAAAGGATCACAAGGAATACAGGGTATCAGTGGAGCAAATGGGCCAACTGGAGCTACTGGGCCTCAAGGTCAAAAAGGTCAGAAAGGTATACAAGGGGTATCTGGTATTGCAGGACCAACAGGAGCTACTGGTCCTCAAGGCCAGAAGGGGGAGCAGGGTATACAGGGTGTTTCAGGAGCAAATGGACCCACTGGAGCCACAGGTCCGCAAGGCCAGAAAGGTCAACAAGGTATACAGGGAGTATCTGGATTGGCAGGCCCAACAGGTGCAACGGGACCTCAAGGTCAGAAAGGCCAAAAGGGTATACAGGGTGTATCTGGAATAGCAGGACCAACCGGAGCAACTGGTCCTCAAGGTCAGAAGGGTCAGCAAGGTGCTCAAGGTACTTCTGGGGCAGTTGGAGCGAAAGGTCAGAAGGGACAACAGGGTGCATTTGGACCCCAAGGCCAGACAGGAGCAACAGGCCCTGCGGGACTGCAAGGCGTGTCCGGTGCTGCAGGACCAACTGGATCAACAGGTCCAACTGGGAGCCAGGGCCCTGTTGGGGCAACTGGCCCACAAGGTAAATGCCCTTTCTTTGAATTATATATTACTGTTAAAAGAAATGATTGAATGATCCATAAAATAATGATTGATATTATTCTTACTGCTGTAATATGTTATGAAATTTGAAAAAGATATTAAGAAAATAAAACGCTGGTTTCTGTCTTAAGGTGTTCAAGGTCAGAAGGGCCAGAAAGGAGTGCAAGGTGTATCTGGAATAGCTGGACCTACCGGAGCTCAGGGCCCACAAGGTTTTACTGGCCAGAAGGGTACAAAGGGTGACACTGGTGCAACTGGTGCTCAGGGTACATCCGGTAGTATTGGTCCCACAGGAGCAACAGGCCCAGCTGGTGCAAGAGGTGAAACAGGAGTTAAAGGCGAAAAAGGTATGTTTGCATCCTTGGATGCTATTTATGTGTATTTATATAAAATTATGCGTTTCCTATTACTGAAACTGCTTTGTTCAAAGGATAAATTTCTTGGACCAACATAAGCAGTTTGTCAAACCTTTCTGAACTGTCTTGAAGGAACATGATTTTCTTTTGAAATGTAGACAAACTTTCTTTCCATTTTTTTTCATGATGCCTTTTTGTACATTTTATACGACTCGAATATTTATTTGAATTTCACTATGTTATCTTTTATTCTATTCCAGGATCGGTTGGTGCAAGTGGGCCCCAGGGTGTGACAGGAGCAACCGGAATTACTGGAACGAAGGGCCAAAAGGGTCAGCAAGGTGTGTCAGGCCAGATCGGTCTTCAGGGTTCAAAGGGTACTAAGGGAGATCAAGGAATCCAGGGTGTATCAGGTGCAAGAGGTGCAAATGGACTTAACGGTGAAAAGGGTCAAAAAGGAACAGTTGGAGCGACAGGGGCAACGGGAGTAAATGGTGCCCAGGGACCAAAAGGAAATCAAGGAGACAGTGGCGCAATTGGACCACAAGGTAAGTTTCGTATTTTATTGCCATTATATAAAACTTAGGATGCACATACTCAATTTTATTGCTTTGTTAACTCGTTTAATGATGGCTAGTCATCTCATATTTATTTAAGCTAGTCATCTCAAGTTCATTAAAGCTACTCTGGTCACTTAAAAAGTAAATCGCAAAAACATTGCACAGTGCGCTTACTCCGATTTCAAAGAATTACATAATATAAATTGTCCCCTTGTAAACGTACGCATTTTGCCAATTTCAATTTTTTAAACCAAAATTTAACGTTATCTTGAAGGACCTACTGGTGCGAAAGGAGAAGTTGGAGCCCAGGGAATTCAAGGCATTAAAGGTGAAAAGGGTATTCAGGGTAACTCTGGAGCCGTAGGACAAAAGGGGTCAGTGGGTGCAGTTGGACCAACAGGTGCCAAGGGAGAAGTGGGTGCAGTAGGAGCCACAGGCCAAAAAGGTTCAATTGGTGCATCTGGTCCAACAGGTGTCCAAGGTCTAAATGGTCCTACAGGAGCCACTGGTCCAACGGGTGCTCAGGGAGCCTCTGGAGCAATAGGTCAAAAAGGTAACAATGACATTCCTCTTGGCTCTGAGATATCTACTTGTATGCAATGTAGTCTCATGTGAAAAGCTGTCTGCTGTAGGTAGTTTCTTAATGATTTATATATCCTTCAAATCTTTTAACTAAAGCCTAACTAACCTTGTCTTTATTGCACAGGTGAACAAGGAATACAAGGTCCTGTGGGTGCTAAAGGAAATCAAGGAGCCTCTGGAGCAGTTGGCCAGAAGGGAGAACGTGGTTTACAAGGTTTACCTGGTAATACAGGACAAGTTGGTCCCACAGGACAGCAAGGTCCATCTGGTGCTGCTGGTGCCAATGGTTTACAGGGTCCTAAGGGATCAGTAGGATCAACAGGTCCAACAGGACAGGTAGGTGCCAAAGGTGCACAGGGCCAAAAAGGTGAGGTTGGTTCATCCGGCGCCGTAGGACAGAAGGGAGAACAGGGTGTTGTAGGACCTACCGGCGCTCAGGGTCTCCAGGGAATAAAAGGACAAAAGGGTGTGAATGGTGTTCTTGGTCCACAAGGCCCAACAGGTCAGAAAGGTCAGCAGGGTGCGTCTGGAATAGCAGGACCTACTGGTCTCACAGGAGGTATTGGTCCTGTTGGCCCAACCGGTAGCACTGGCCCCCAAGGATTACAGGGGGTAGTTGGAACAAAAGGACAAAAAGGCGATCAGGGTGTTCAAGGACAACAAGGACCAATGGGTGCGCAAGGTCCCCCCGGTGTCACAGGTTTACAGGGAACTCCAGGTGTGCAGGGTATTAAGGGAGAGCGAGGAGCCCCTGGAATGAATGGTAAGTTGACTGTTAGTTTTAACAATCTTTACCAAATTGATTACACAATCATATATATTAAGCTATCTGGTATGGAGGCCCATAGTATAAATACACGTATGAGTTCGTTTTTAGGATGGATTAAGACATTTTCTTTCTTTCTTTTTTTTTTTTGACGTTTTGTTGCAAAACATCAATGTAAGGTTTTTGAAATGTTCGTGGTGCTCAATATGGTCTTGATATTGTACATATGTGACTACTGAAGTTCTTCTTCTCTTTTTAAGATCACCAATTCAAGTGAACAATGTATGATATTTAGCATTTCTTCATATCACCATAACACAAACGGCTCATTATTGATAGCATGTAACACTTTGTGCATATGTGTCATTACAGACACAGATGAGTGTGCAACTAATAACGGAGGCTGCGGAGATATCTGCATCAACACGATTGGGTCCTACTA